GTCTGAAATAAAAGTGAAAGGCAATTGTTAACATACACGTGGGGTGGGGTGGGGTGGCATGACGGTGACTGGAGTTCCCAAGTGCTGGTCCCCTTTGGTGCAATGCCCTCGGCTGTCTGCTTCGGGGCGTCGGGCGGCCTGTGGTATTTTCCGTTGTCTTCTTTTTTCTGAAAATAAACTAGTTTAAGATTTTGGTTAGTTCAATGGTGATTACGTGTTATTTGCCAGTGGGGCGGAGCGGGTGGGAGTGGCTCCGGTACGTCGACCCGCTGTCCGGTTGGTGGTTGTTTGTTTTAGGCTGTCCTTAAAGATGGCGGCTTGTTTGGTGGGCTCTTTAGAATTGGCGGTTGCCTCTTCTATTCTGCTTTTTCTTTGGCGCCCGGAGCTGGTCAGGGCTGCGTTTAACTCGTCGCAGAGTCGGCCAGCTCTATTGCTCTTTTCAAGCAGTTCAGGTGTTTCGCCTTCATCTCCGTATTCCTCGAAAGAGTAGCCGACAACGTAGTGGTCGACCTCGTCGAAATACTCCAGCGTGTGCGGAGCCGCCAGCTTGTTGTACTCTTCAACCCTCGCTTTAAGGTCGTCGAAGCTAGTTATTTTGGCTGCTGCTGTTTGGCTCACGCGTGGGGTGGCTGGCAGTCTGACGGGTGCCTCGCTTCGTTCTTCGATTGTCGCGGTGTCTGTCATCTGTGCCTGGTTTTGTGTCATTACTATCTCGGTAGCTGTGCTTTTGTCGGCTTTGATAATCGGTTGCTTTACAGCTTTCCTGGAAGCCTCTCTTTCTTTCTCAAGCAGGGCGCGCTCTGTTCTTGCCGCCAGCACTGCAGCTTCTGCTTCTGCTTTTGTCTGAATCATAAGAGTGACTTCCTTGTAAGTGCTCTCGCGGGCTTCCCTAAGTGCGTCGGTTTCTTTTCGTCTCTCCTCCCTTTCTTCCTGTCGGCGGGTCTCGTCTGCAGCTTTTGGGAGCTTCCTTCAAAGTCGGAGCATCTGCCGGAGAGGCAAGGAACCAGCAGTCTGCATATAAATGAGTCAGATCTGTCAAACGGATGCACACGCAACACTCAGGTTCTGGAACAGGACTGCAGTCCAGAAGTGGATGAACAACCAGAACTTTCTGCCAGAGTTTACAGCTGGTGAATGCGAAGAAGAAGAAGAAGAATTCTGTTCTTTCGTGTTTTTTTTCCTTTTGTCTTTTGTTGTTAATGTCCACGTTTGGCACTGATAACATAATGTTGGTATAAATACTGAACTGAATAGTGCTCTTTGGCTATCAATTGTTACATATTTATTCTGCAAAAGTTGTGACATTTGTCAAATAATTTGAGTTGCTTTTTCCTCCTTGATTCTTCCATTCGACGATATTATGCTCGATAGATACTTGAGGCCTTTTGCTTGCTTGAGTTGTTGGTTTTTCTAAGCATATCTTAATTGATTCTTCTGTTCTCGCAATTTTTTTAGCTGCCTTGATGACTTGGTCATCTGCAAAAAAGGGTCATCTGCAAAAAAAGGCGGCCATTGTACTTATTGTCCTCATTAATTTGCGATGCTCTAATTTTTTATCTATAAATCCCCCGTGTGGGTTCCGGGGCCCTATTATAGGGAAAACAAGAATAGACCAACTGCCTGCCCAAAAGCATGTCGTAAGAGTTGACTAATTGGAAGCTTTCTTCGAAGTCGGAGTGCATCAGCTTGAGAGGCAAGGAACCAACAGTCAATGAGTCAGATCTGTCAAACGGATGCACACGCAACACTCAGGTTATGGAACAAGACTGCAGTCCACAAAGTGGGCGAACAACCAGAACTTTCCACCGGAGTTTATAGCTGGTGAACGCAAAGAAGAATAAGAATCTATAAATGTGATAAACTGAAGGGGGGATGGGGGGGGGGGGGATAGAACACATCCCTGACGGACTCCGAATTAGGACTGGATCACATCCGCGATATCAAAACATCTGTGCTGAATAAAATAGAATGGAAAAATAAACTGTGAGACCTATTTAATGGTACAAGATGATGATGAAGATGTTATCAGATAATGAAGCCATCATTGTCTCTTTCGGTTCTAGGTAGTTTTCAATTCAACAATGTATGCCAAAGTTTTTGTATCTTAGAGCAGCTAAGAACTGAAAAATACAGTAACAACTGCAACCAATAGGCCAGATAGGCCGGCTCAGCACTGTCACTTTCAAAAGTTACTTGTTTCTATGGCTTGCTGATGCAGTTTCCTCATTTCTGGACTTGGAGTCTAATGGTTCCATCACCCAGATACAGGGAGGTGAGGAGCCATTTCCAAATGCTTTCTGCTCATTGAAACCTGGACATGTTTAACTTTAGGAAATAAATGACCGGGTACAGCAAGTTCAATAAACACTTGCCTGACATGTTATATATAAAAAAAAATGTTTAGAACAGAAGACTAGACTTTGAGCCCTACGTAGCACAAAACGGCACAACTAGGTCATAGAAATTGTCCTATTTGTAGCATTTACTGACTGCAAGATGGTTTCATACCACTTGCTAAACTATTGTTGTAACCATTATTATTTCTCTAACAATTATACTGACAAAACTTTTACAGTTGTTAAAGTTACTATTCATGTTTTAATTTGACAAAAATGACCTAAATAAAATGAATTTTCAGGAAGACAGGTGTGTGATTTTGTCTTCTTTTCCTGCTATTAGCTGTGTAACTGTCTGTGGTCTGGGGGCTACAAATGCGCTTCATAATTCTGCAAATCCCAGTTGGCCGCCATGTTGATTCTGGTGCTTCAAACAGTTTATTATAATAGCTGCTTGAGGAACAAAGTGTTTAGAACATCGATGACCAGGTCGGCCATAGGCTGGCGGGTGGATGGTTTCATCATCGATCGGACAGTATTTGGGTCTGTCTGTCGTGATCAAATCAACACTCTTATGAAGCGACTGCTTGTAAGGCACCGCCGACTTGCCGAGTGTCTAGAGGTGAATGATTAACGCTTCACCCAGATCTATTTAAAAGTTCCCAAGTTGACCTTCTGGCGACTAATTAGCATCCCTACCGAAGAGTGCTTAGCTAACAAAATTCACACAGTCACATCTATCTCTAACACTCTGTCAACAGTATCACGCGACACATCAGGAGACATTTCTCATAGTGCTTCAGGCAATTTAATTAATCGGCAATTATAATGGGACAACGATCGGTGGCATACGTGTGAATAATAACATTCTCTAAACATTCTAATTCTCCATGGGAACAAACAATACACATGTCCACTGACTAAAGGCTAGTATGCCCATATGCGTCCATTACCTATCGCTGACAGAGAGACACTGCCTCTTTCATGAGTAAGCTTCAGCAGCTAACTTTCGAGTCTCGCACTTCCTGTAAAGCTGCGTTTATCCGTGAAAGTGTAAAACCACTTATTTAGCATGGACCATTTTGTAATGGTGTGAATTCCCGGGGAAATCCCAGAGAGTTCCTGATGGGGAGGACAAGGTCAGAGGACCAGTGATGCAAGAAAAAAACGAGATAAGTGGGTCTCGAGTATCCCGTGGTGCGCAAATAATGGATACAAAAAAAGCGTGAGACTTGTCACTATCCTCATCTTGCAACATGGATCGGTTGCACTCGTCACCATCCCTATTATCATCATCATCTAGCACCTTTATGACTGGCGCATGAGATTCGACTCTGGTACAATTGACTAGCAAATGAATTTAGCATACTACACACTGCAAGAGTCATTCTGAGGGCTAACTGGTGGTGAGCAATGTTAAAGCCATTTTATATGACGCACATAAACCTAGTCACAATTATATCCAACAGCTTCCCCCTGGGGGATGCCAGTCAAATGTGACGATCTTTTTTTCCCCCACAAAGCCAGCCTAGTCAAGTCAAAGTGTTTAGAAAAGGTAATTTATGTCAGGAGTAACTAGCACATGCATGGTTTTTTGTCTGGGGCAGAATGTAAGGAGTAACTAGCACATGCATGGTTTGTTGTCTGGGGCAGAATGTAAGGAGTAACTAGCACATGCATGGTTTGTTGTCTGGGGCAGAATGTAAGGAGTAACTAGCACATGCATGGTTTGTTGTCTGGGGCAGAATGTAAGGAGAAACCAGTGCAGTGTCTGGCCAGCGGGCACAGCAGAATCATAAGTTCGACAAATGATTCATGAAAATTCTCACCCAGGTGATGTGATAATCTATGCAGATGGCTCTGTGTTAAGAGGCAAACAAAGCTCATAGGGGTTCTTAGCAAAAGTGAATGGATGTCACTTAGTGCTACAAAACCTGACATACACACCACATCTAGTTTGAGAATGGAGGTGGAGGCAGTCACTGAAGCCTTTCGCTGGCTTGAGAATCAGCTATACACACATGTCCTAACTGTAACTGACTCAGAGAGCATGATGAGAAAGGTGGAGACGAATACTCTCCGTGAAAAGTGGCAAGCATCATTTCAGAGGTTCCGAATAGTTAGCGTCCTTTGGATATTTTCCTCAGCAAATGACGGTGTTTTAGGGAATGAACAGCAAGATGGACTGGCTGGTTCTGCACAACTTGGTGGTGAACTGATGCATGTTGTGAGGACCCTCTGGGGGCGAGTGAACAGTGTGGAAGCACAGATGAATCATCAGGGTCTGAAGAGAATGGTACTGTGAAGATTGATCAAGGGGTCTGGCCGATGATCAGCACTCAAGGGGAAGGTTAGACGGATATTCAGACTGCTATTGGTAACCACTGGAACCGGAACTCTGGGCTTTCTGCTGAAGACGAGGACAGAGCACTCTTGGGAATGATACCAGTGCTATGATGTTGATTCTCAATTAAACTCTGTTCTACAAATAACAAAACGGTTATTTATTATAATAAATACATGAACTATTACATATCCAAGTGTAAAAAGAATATAATATTTTCACTAAATATGAGGTTGTGAGTTACTCTATGTGATGTCTATGTAAAGCTTCTGAGAGTTGATTTTCTTGAAACCTAAAGAAATGTAACTCTGTAACAAACATTATCTGTCCTCTCTATCCAACAAAGAATGATGATTAGCAGATGTATATAACTGGTCAAGAGTAAGCTCCCCCTTGTAGCTCTGACCCAAATCTCCGACAACTTTCCGACTTGGCTCGGATACACCATGTGCCCTTAAACTTGTCTTCAATGTGTTTGCCTTCAACAATTCTCGGCTTTCCACTGCATTTGTGTGCAGACTGTTGGTTCCTTGCCTCTGACTTTAAAGGAAGCTCCCAATTAGTCTACTCTTAGGACATGCTTTTGGGTAGGCAGTGGGTCTATTCTTGTTTTCCCTATAATAGGACCCGGAACCCACATACGGGGGACACAATTTATTAATAAACAGGAGCTTTGTCAGCATTTCCAGTTGTCCCCCATGCTGTCGTTGTGTGTCTTCTGTAACTTCAAAACATGTCTTCGATACCAAACAGTTTCTCTTCGAAGGTGTCAGGAAGTCGCTGCGCCACTGTTGTCCGCCGCAGAATAATAAGGTCATTTTGTGGTGTAAAGCTCATTGCCTAGCCATAAGTGTCTTTAAATTCGCTTGCATATAGTGCACTACTTGCAACTGAAATTTACAACCGTAACTTGCTCTTATGCAGCCCATCTTTCACTACTTACGGGTACTACTGTTTCTGTGATGGTCTCTCAATGAAAATCTAAGAAAAATGTTTCCTAAAATTATCACCTCGGAACCAGGTGTGACTTATAAAAGCGTGCGGCCTATGGTATATACTAAATTATGCACATCATATTAAATTTCACTTGTAAACAAACTTAACAAGAAGACACAGGATCTGAAATAACAATATCAGGAAAAAGGTTGAGAGGAAGCCAGTGCTAAACTACGTCCAGAGTTAACAGATCAAATGGTTTGGACGTGTGTCAAGACTATCCCAAGATAGTGCACTACAGAGAGCCCTGTCAGACACAATGAAAGCAGAGCCAGAAGTTGACCACACAAGAAGTGGATAAACTGAATATCCAGGGTCGTTAATAGCAGCATTCATGTAGCACGCCAAGACTTGAACCAGACGCCAATTCAAAACCTGATGATGAAAGACAGAACAGGACTAGGGAAAAAAACAAAGAAGAATGAGACTGCCTATTGTTAAACAACTTTGAGGTGACCTGTTGCACAATATCTGTGTAAAGTCAATTATCCATTGTTACTTTCGTTACAGTTTTATCTGTTCGTAGTCATATCTGTTGTTCACAGTCACAATGCATCATTTTTCAGCAAACACCTAATTATTCGTCTTTTATGACATGCTTGCCAGGGACGCAGTGCACCTGTTGCTGCCCCCCAAAAATTGGGTTCCTGGAAACCGTCAGAGGGATAGCCCTAAACCAATGCCATGTCATTACTGCCTATATTTAGGGTTACACTGATCCCGTGTGCAACTACTCCTTATGTCGTTGATGAGCTCCATCTCTAATGTTGGACTGTCTGTGTTAGAACTTTTGATGACTGCCTTTTGCTTTAAATGCATGTGTATGCTGGTGGATTTCCTGAGACTGCAGTCTGCGTCAATCTTTCAACAAGGGACATTCTGTGTGTTTTTCGTTGGCACAGGAGCAGAGCAATGGGGTGACCCATTTGCAATGAAGCTGAAACTAAGATTACAAGACTTTATTTTTGCACTAGACTTTAAAAAATCTACCTCAGTCTCCCGCACAAGAGCCAAGTTCTCTTAACCATTCGGCCAGCTGCTCCCCTCTACACCACTAGACCCTCGGTAAATACAATTGTACAACTTTTCTACAATTTACCTCTGACTACGAGCCAGTTCAGCAAGCAGACTTTCCCGATCAGACGCCATCTGCCTTGCTCTTATACTCTGCATGGCTACCTGTTTGCTCGCTTCTGCTGCCTGTTGTTCGGACTCTCTTACTCTTTCCTCCATACGCCGAATATTTTTTGTATACTCGGAAAGCATCCGTTGAACCTGATAAAAACAAACGTTGAATCTCATAAAAAAATAAAAACAGTAACAATAAAAGCATGACTATCAACAGTATTTTTTTTAAAGACCTCAGAAAAATGTACAAAGATTAAATTTGTATTTAACAAAATGGACTCATATTTATTAAGATCAATTCACACTTATCAAGATTTATCAAGGTCACCTCATATTTTTTAAGATCAGTTTAAATTTATCAAGATTAATTTCCATTCACCAAGGTTAATTCACATTTATCAAGGTCGATCCATGCTTATCAAGGTCAATCATATAAATCATTCCTGTGTGGGTTCCGAGGCCCCATTTTGGGAAGAAAAAAGGAGCAGACCCCCTGCCTGAGAGGCAAGGAACCAACAGTCTGCATGCTAATTTTGAAAAAAAAAAGTTAATTGCGTATCCTATACAGGGCGCTACAAAAAACAACCTCCGCATTTTTTGGCTGTTGCAATTTTTCTAGGCAATTTTGTATTCAGTAACTTGCCACTGCTACCGAAGAGTCGGCTCTTGAAAACACTGTTGAAGCCAACGCAAGAGAGTCAGCCAAATCGCCTGCAGCTGGGATCTAACCTGGCACTATGAAGCTCATTCAAAACACCTAAGTCACAGACGCCGACTGGCTTATTAGCAGCTGGTCTAGGAGGGAATTTCTGACAGACAGACATACAGTATGCTAATAACTGTCGACTTATAAGCCAGTCTGTAAAACAGACGTGCACACAAAACTAAAATTCTAGAACAAGACTAAAGTCCAGAAGTGAACAAACCATCAGAATTTTCCACCGGAGTTTACAGCCCGTCAACACTAAGAAGATGTCAGTCAGTAGCATGTCTTTTTGCAGAACCTTGCTCCCACAACATCCCTCTGGAAAACTTCTTCATCACAAGCAAGATGTCCCGCGTCCGATACACCCATCTGGAGATCATCCGCCACATCCTGCACCCATCTTCTCTTTGGCCTTCCTCTTCCTCTCTTCCCAAGCATATACCCCTCCATAATTGTTCTCTCTAAACTTTTTTGACATTTGTTTGTTTTAGTATCCAGAAGCCATGAGTTGTTAACCCTTAGGCTCGATATTATGGATATCGCAACCTTTCGGCCTTGATTCCATTGTAAATACCGTAAATCTGGGAGAAATGTGGCTTTTCTGTCTACCCCCGGGATTGATCCCGGACCACAAGGATTTCATCACCCGGTCTCCGCGCAATCCGGTTTAGCCAACTACGCTAGAGAGCCAGGCTTTGTGACATTTCAAGAGACCAAAGAAGATGTATATCAAGATAAATTCATTTGTATCCAGATCGATTCATCATTTATTCACATCAGGAGTTTGTGCCTAAACCAGGATAGGAGTAAAAAGTTTACAAGAGAAACTGCAGTCGTAGAACAGCTAGCCATCATGTTATTCTGTTCAACCCTACTCACGTCTGCTGTCTTAGCTTGACTATCTTTCAGAAGTGATGTTAACTCTTCATTTCTTTTCTTCACATGGCTCAGCTCCTTCCGCAGGTCCTCCATCTTGCACTCAAATTTATGGGTGATTGTTTGGCATTCTTCTTTCCACCTGCAACGCAAAAAAGGTATGTTTTCTCTGTGATGACAAAATCTTTATTAAAAAATAAAAATAAAAAACATCATTCCTAGATTTTAGTTAAACACATACCATGGCCTCTGAATGTGATTATATGCACTGACAGGTCAGTGACCAGGAGCAGAAACAGGGCTTCGTCGCAAAAGCATGGAGGAGGAGGAGGATGACAGAGGAGAGCTTGGCATATGTTATTACCACACCCAGCATGAGAATGGAGGTTGAGGTGGTAACTGCGACATTCTGATGGAAGGGGAAAATCTCAGCCACATATATTGTTACAGTGTCGGATTCATAAAGCATGCTGAAGAAGGTGGAGTCTGGTTTTCTTTTCCATATGGAATGAGTTACATTAATGCAGAGATCGTACATGGTGAGAATCATGATATGGATTTTATACCCAGGCCATTCAGGTGTGTTTGGGAGTGAGCAGGCAGATAGGCTGACTGGAATGGCCCCATCTGAAGGTGTACTGCAACTGTACAAGGCAGAGGTGATCTCTAGCTTGTGAGACAAGGTAACAGATGAAACAGAAAATACTGAAAACCTGTATCTGGAGAGAATGATGCAGCTGGGAGTGGCTCTGGGCACCTCTCCTGACTTGGAGGGAAGGCAAGACAAGTAGTTAACAGAAGACAACGGGCACCATAAGTATGTAAACTCTTCGCTGTCTGTTCAGGAGGGAGACGGAGCTAATATGGGCTTGTCCTGAATGCTGTGATGTCGAATCTGTACCCAGATGAATACTGTAGAGACCATGTGTTGCCCATCCATTATAATCCCTCCCTCAGCCTTCTTTGTTTACTCCAAAAGAAAGGTAACACCAATATGTCTGGAACATAGCACTCTGTCGATCTGTCTGTCAGAGATTCCCTTCTAGACCAGCTGCTAGCCCAGGCTCAAGACCTGGCCTTCCCTCCCATAACATTAAGTTTGCAGGCTACATTTCCTCTTCCTAGGATAAGGCGAGTTTCCATCACAATGTGCTCCATCACTTGAAACTGTTGGCACAAAGTGGGATGTCAGGTTTGGCATACTCTGCCCAACATCTGGCGTTAACAGAAAACAGGAACTACCGACTACTGATATACGATAGCTCAGCCACATCTAACCAAGACCTGACAGCATGCCATAAAAGGACTGCAACCGTAACCAGACTGCAAAAACAAGTCAAAAGAAGTGACGCCAGACAGGAGCAATATGCAAGAAATCAAGAGGAATAATAAATCAATAAAGAACTGGTAAATGTAGCTGCTACACACAGTGCAATTTCATCATCACCAGCATCGTTGTACTGGGCAACAGCTTTGATGGGCTGGCTAAACCAGAAGAGGGAAGCCGACCTGGTTCTAAACCACTCGGTGAAAGGAATATGTCTACACTGCAGGCAAAGACTGGACTCTGCGGATTGTGCAGATGAAACCTCTTATTGGTTCAACGGACAAGAAGGCGTTTACCAGCAGGCTCTGTGGAGAGCTTCGAACAAGGCAGGGCTCTTGAGACGCCTTGGTCATTCACTGCACCTAGGTCCATTTCCAATCGTCTCGACATTGTCCTGCCATCGGATCAAGATGGACACAGGCGAGAGAGTGAGGTCGACGAATTGCACAACTCTTCCGAACTTAAATCCAAGTCCTTGCACAAGTCACTTTCATCCAGCTATCATCATTATTATCAAACACTTTCAAGACTAATTAGCCACTTTCGAACTCATAATCATCGATCATTACTACTTTGGATGAAAGTGGCCTTCATCACTCATGATAGACGAACAACAACTGTTGTGACATTATACTCGTATACCACACAGGGCTCACTGTCTATTCATCCACTTCATTCTATCCTGTGCAATCCCTGTGTTATCATGGATGGAATCCAGGCCAGCATCTTTGGTTTCTCTCTTTAATGTTTGTTTTAACTTTACGGTTTCTGTTGGACATCCTCACTTTGTCAATCCTTTTTTTCCCCAATTTTAGTGGTATTTGCTTAGGATGGGATCTGAGCACTTATAGAGTAAAAGGTTTGAAGTGCAATGATGATTTGTTGACTAGCTTACTAACACAGAATTAGTGTCATCAGCTGATGCACTTGAGGGACATACTAAGGATGGGATCTGAGCACTTATAGAGTAAAAGGTTTGAAGTGCAATAACGATGATTTGTTGACTAGCTTACTAACACAGAATTAGTGTCATCAGCTGATGCACTTGAAGGACACACTAAGGATGGGATCTGAGCAGTTATGGAGTAAATGGTTTATTGTGCAATGAGGATGATTTGTTGACTAGCTATCACAGAATTAGTGTCATCAGCTGCACACTGAGTGATCTTCTTCTTAGCACTCACCAGCAGTAAACTCCTGTGGAAAGTTTAGCTTGTTCCCCTCTGGACTTTGGCCTTGATCCAGAACATGAGTTTTGTGTGCATTTCTGTTTTACAGACCTGGCTTATTTGTATGCAGACTGTTGGATCTTTGCCTCTCTCAGCGGGATGTACTCCAATTTTGAAGGAAACGCCCCTAATTATGACATGCTTGTTAAGGGGAACAGTGGGTGTATTCTTTCCCCCCCCCCCCCCCCCCAAAATGGGGTCCCACAACCCACATGGGAAACACTGAGGAGGGGATCTAAGCACTTATGGACTGAACAACTTGATGAGGATGATTTGTCGGCCAATCACGTAATATAGAACTGACATCATCAGCTGCCTCACTTGAGGGATATACTGAGGGGGGGGGATCTGAACACTTATGGACTGAACGATTCAATGTGTAATGAGGATGATTTGTCGGCCAATTACTTAACACAGACTTTGTGTTTTTAGCTGCTGCACTTGAGGGATATACTGAGGATGGGATCGGAGCACTTATGGACTGTATAATTTATACTGAGGATGGGATCGGAGCACTTATGGACTGTATAGTTAAACTGAGAATGATCTGTCAACAAAATAGTTCTGCCATTCCTTCCCCAACACCTGCTCTAACCTGGCACTCATCCTCTGCTGTGCTGTCAACATGTTACGAAGCTCGGTAACTGTCTGTCTGTGAGCATCTTCTGTTGTCTGAAGTTTCACTTCCATCTCTCGAACTTTCACATGCTGGTCTTGCTCCACCAGGGCAAGCTATAGGTTGAAAGAAGCAAACAAAACTGATGTTTCAACAAAAGGAGACCAAACAGATTGCACAATATATTACTTGGCATACTTCACCGTCTTCCATCAGGAGATACAATAAATTTAAAAAAAAAAAAAAAAAAAGATGCTAACAAATAAGTCCTTTATAAGTGCAATACAAAATCAGCTACACTCAAAAGTAACTGTTTCACCAGGTCAAGCTCGAGTTCCTGACCATGTCTTTTTGTTTGCACAAATCTGCATGAATGTTAATGTCTTTGTGTTTGCACAAATCTGGATGAGTGTTAACTTCTTATAGCCAATGCACTGAACGTTTAACTAATCAATCAGCAAACCCTGAAAGACAGATCGTAGGGGAGGGGGAATCCTGTGTCATAGTCTTAAATACATAAATTTATATGTTTTTTTTTTCCATTGTTCTTGACTTCATAGTGGGCTGGTGAACAGACAGGTCTGATGATGGAATGAAAACCAAACAGTCTGGAACAGTGGAAGACATGCACTGCACTACAGACCTCATAGAGGCTTGTGGCCTTCTCATCCAAAAACAACTGGCAGAGAGAAGAAGAAGGAGACTCCATGGTTGTTACAAATATGTGGTGAAAGGAGTGGTGACTGCAGTCAAGAGAGCTTAGGCTCATAACTATAACTTATGACTAGGTTATGAGCACTACATAAAATGGCTTAGCACTTCACGCCACCAAGTGACCAGAAAAGGACTCTTATAGTGTTGATGCGATCTAAAGAGACAGACAGGCGACAAAGTCATCTAGCAGCAAGCCAATGGGCCACCTAGTCGCCAATGCTAAATGTTGATCAGTGCTCCAGCAAACTATATTCTTTTCAAATCTGTTTCTTCTTCTTGTTCACCAGCTGTGAATTCTGGCTCAAGGTCCGGGTAGTTGGTCCATTTAGACTTTTGGCTTTTAGATGGACCTGAGTTTTGCATGTACATCCATTTTACTGCCTTATTTGTTTGCCGTTCCCTGCCTCACAGGCAGATGTACTCTGACTTCGAGGAAATTTTAACCAAAAATAACTAAAAAGTGCAGAATGCATCACAAAATTATCTTTGACTCACTTCTTTAATGGATTTCCTATAAGCAGCATCCCTTTCCTGCTGTAACTCCACTAATTTTTTATCCACTTCACCGAGTTTATTCATGAGGTTCATACGATCCTCATTGACAACTTCAAACTCTGACTGAATGCTGGAAAGTCTTTCTTGTAACCGTTTTATCTCTGCCTCTAGCTGGCTTTTCTGTTGCTTATTGCTGCAATGTAAGAAATCATGACTTCAGCGATAAAATATGAAAACAAAAAGAAAAACAACAAAAAATGTCTTTCTCTCTCCCGGTCTTGCACGCCCACCTGCTGTTTACAACAGGCGGCCCTTCCACCTTGTGCCGATTGAAATATAGGTCTAGCCCTAAAGGCAGGGAAAAGGGACCTTTACTTACTTACTTATATAAAACTCTTTCAGTCCCAAGCAATGCAGTGCATGAGTGACACCATCCCCTGATTTCCCTCCAAACCATCATGGCATCTCTCAAGTTTAACATTCAGTCAGAACCAACTAAAGAAATCTGGCTTCTCCGATGTAATTACCACTGCGTATTGCCACTGGGAAATTGATACATTCATGCTTTTTTTCATCATGGTTTTTTTCTTCCTTTTGGTATTTTCTGTGAAAGTTTCTGTCTGTGAATGAAAGCGATAAGGATGTAACCAGGCCATGACACACTTTGCCACACAGGAACTGACCAATATTAGGCCTAGGACATTAGGCAGTAGGCATTTCATGTTTAGCACAGCAGACTCCAACCCAATGCCTAAAGAAAGGACAGATTTCCTTTAAACTATCTAATTTTTATTAAAGCAAGTTGACATTAAATTTTCCCATAAGCCTTAGTGACAAAGGTCACGGACTGACAGCATGAGTCATCTCATACATATTTTTTTAATTTAACGCTCCAACGAATGTGTTCCATTTAATGTTTCACCCTGTTTCTGTTTGTTCCCTTTATGTAAAGTAAAGTGAAGTAAAGTAAAGTAAAGTAAAGTAAAGTAAAGTAAAGTAAAGTAAAGTAAAGTAAAGTAAAGTAAAGTAAAGTAAAGTAAAGTAAAGTAAAGTAAAGTCGGGAGAAGTCCCTTTCTGTGTCTTTATATTGATTTTAAAAACATAAAAATAAAAATATTCATAAATAAATTTGTTTTTAAAGTTTATTCATGACCTGTAAAAAATTGGTGGTTTTTAAAGGGTTTTCCTAAGAATTCCCACAGGGTCATAATGTATCTCTTCTTACTGGGACGAAAAGGTTAACTCAAAACACATGTCTATAATGACAAAGAAGAACACGAAGAGGAGAAGGAAGAATAAAAAGATGAAGAAACACATATTCCCCTAGTATTCGCAGCAAAATTTTCTCGTGTGTGCTCCCAATAAAAGACCTACCGCCTTCCCAACAAGCATGTCGCACGAGTCGACTAACTGGCGGCATCCTTCGAAGTCAAAATGCATCTGTCCAGGAGGCAAGGAACCAAGGATCTGCATACAAATAAGCCAGATTTGTAAAACAGATGTGCATGCAACTCCCAGGTTCTGGCACCAGACCAAAGTCTGTAGGTGGATGAACAACCAGAACTTTCCGCCGGAGTTTACAGCCGGTGAACATGAAGAAGGAGATGAGACAAACATTCTGCGACACCACAACTACCACACTTATTTCAACAACTACCACACTCATTCGAACAACTACCATACTCACTCCAACAACTACCACACCCACTCCAACAACTACCACACTTATTTCAACAACTACCACACCCACTCCAACAACTACCACACCCACTCCAACAACTACCACACCCACTCCAACAGCTACCACACCCACTCCAACAGCTACCACACTTATTTCAACAACTACCACGCCCGCTCTAACAACTACCACACCCACTCCAACAACTACCACACCCACTCCAACAGCTACCACACCCACTCCAACAACTACCACACCCACTCCAACAACTACCATGCCCACTCCAACAACTACCACACCCACTTCAACAACTACCACACCCACTCCAACAACTACCACACTTATTTCAACAACTGCCACACCCACTCCAACAGCTACCACACTTATTTCAACAACTACCACACCCACTCCAACAACTACCACACCCACTCCAACAGCTACCACACTTATTTCAACAGCTACCATGCCCACTCCAACAACTACCACGCCCACTCCAACAACTACCACACCCACTCCAACAACTACCACACCCACTCCAACAACTACCACACCCACTCCAACAACTACCACACCCACTCCAACAGCTACCACACTTATTTCAACAACTACCATGCCCACTCCAACAATTACCACACCCACTCCAACAACTACCACACCCACTCCAACAGCTACCACACTTATTTCAACAACTACCACGCGCACTCCAACAATTACCATGCCCACTCCAACAACTACCACACCCACTCCAACAGCTACCACACTTATTTCAACAACTACCATACAAACTCCAACAACTACCATGCCCACTCCAACAACTACCACACCCACTCCAACAACTACCACACCTACTCCAACAACTACCACATCTACTCCAACAACTACCACACTCACTCCAACAACTACCACACCCACTCCAACAACTACCATGCCCACTCCAACAACTACCACACCTACTCCAACAACTACCACACCCACTCCAATAGCTACCACACCCACTCCAACAACTACCACACCCACTCCAACAGCTACAACACTTATTTCAACAACTACCACACCCACTCCAACAACTACCACGCCCACTCCAACAACTACCACGCCCACTCCAACAGCTACCACACCCACTCTAACAACTACCACGCCCACACAAACAACTACCACTCTCACTCCAACAACTACCACACTAACTGCAACAACTACCACACTCACTCCAACAACTACCACACCCACTCCAAAAACTACCACGCCCACTCCAACAACTACCACACCTACTCCAACAACTACCACACTCACTCCAACAACTACCACACTCACTCCATGGTAAGCCTGTCCACCTTGGTCTGAAGGGAATCAATCTTTATATTTGCCTCATCTTTTGCACGTTCTGCATCAATGACCCTCTTGTTCAGATGCTGGTATTCCTCCTTTGACCTAGAACCTTCTACTGCACCATCTCTGTAAATCTAAAGTCACACGAGGAAAAAGCCCCTTTACAAAATGTTAAAAATAGTAAATGTTTACATACAACTAGGACGACGCTCAACACTCAAGGGAAAGGGGAGATGGATGTACAATTAGACAGTTTCTGATACCATTAGAATTGGAACTCTTCACTTGCTGCGGAAGATGTTGACAGAGCGCTGATGGGCGTGTCCCAAGTGCTATGATGTCCATTCTCAATTCAATATTCAACTAGGAAAGGAAATTTTGAGCTACCAAGGTGTGAATCCATCTTCTTTCTTCTTCGGTTCATCGGATGTAAACTCCGTCGAAAGGTCTTGGTTGCTCGTCCACTTTTGGACTTTCGTCTTATTCCAGTACTTGAGTATTGCAGGCATATCCGTTTTATAGATCTAATTTTTCTGTGCAGACTTTTAGTTTCTCCCATCTCAGGCATCTGCATTCAGAGTTCAAGGAAAACATCAATCCTTTCTATCTTGTCCAGGCCCCTGGTTGGGAATCTATTTTTAGGGTGACCGTTGGGGAGATGCAGACAGGGCTTGACCAGTTCGAACCCCGTCTGGAGGCACCACCACATACGTTTCAGTACCTCTGCAATCCGGTGTGAATCCTTTTCTTCTTCCTCTGCTTTTTCTTCTTCACATTCACTGTTTGCAAACTCCGGCAGAAAGTTCTGGTTGTTCGTCCACCTCAGTTCTCTAGTCTTGCTTCAGAATCTGAGAGTTGCATGCACAGCTGTTTTACAGATCTGGCTTATTTGCAGACTATTGGTTCCTTGCTTCTCAGGCAGATGCACGCCGACTTTTAAGGAGACCCCAACAAGCCAACTCCTGCGACATGCTTGCTAGGGACTATTCTGGTTTTCTCGACAATGGAGCCTCAAAAACCACACTGGGAGGTGTGAATCCAGGTGCATATTGCGTCAGCTGTCATTATTCCGTTCATACTCTAATTTGTTCTTCTTTCCTATGGTGTCCATGTTTAATGTCCAACACAGGTGAGTTTATTTCTCTGCATATCTGAGTACAGGAACCACGGTAGTGGTGTGGTTAGACATTCACCTGATGGGTCGAAGGTCGTGGTTTCAAACCTGCACTGAACCAGTTTTCCCCCCCCCAAAAAACTGAACTTGGTTTTCAGGTCCACACCCAGCCTAAACAGAGTACCAGGAAATGTCCTGGGAAGTAAAAGTAAACGGCAGGATGTCGACCACATCACTTACAGATCGCTGAGTGATCAACAACATTAGGAGTATAGCTTCATGTGTCTGAGAAGCTACTCGTGTGAACAGGGTCTTTACTGTCACTACATATTTGAGAAAAGTCAAGAAATGGTAACTACAGCTACAATGCAAAAATATATAAACTAAAACAATGACCTAAGTGACACACGAGGAAGTCAATAAGTCAGTCAAAATGGTTATGGGATGGCAGGAAAATATAGCTGGCGGTTTCTAAAGGTGTCATTAGGTGACAGCAACATAGAGTTTTATGTCTCCGTTCATTAGGTGGTGACAGGTGTTGCAAGTGCATTCGCAACACAAAAACAAAATGGGCACTGTACTTACGGAGTGTGCCCTCAAAGAACAACATGCTATTTTGGGGGTTTGTTTGTGGCCCGGGGAAAGGAGGGGGGGTTGCCAAAAGAGCTGCCTGCAAAGGACACTCATAAAGAAATGCTTTCAGTTTATGCTCACAAAAGTGAATGCTGATAAAGTTCTATTGGGGCTTTATGCGAAGAAAAAGTTTTGCCTGCTGACCAGAGAAGTACTGCTCCTTCATGACAATGCCAGACCACATCCGGCTCAGTTAACTTAGCAGAAAATTAACCATCTAGAGTCAGAACTTCTGTAACATCCATCTTACAGCCCCGACTTGGTCCCTAGCAATTTCCACCTTTTTTGGTCCACTGAAAAACCAACCTTGGTGGGAGACATTCCGCAAATAAAGCAGAAGCTGAATGTGAAGTGAAAATGTGGTTTAGAAAACAGAGCATACAGTTCTATGCAGCAGGTTTGGAAGGACTGATAAAATGATGGGACAAATGACTCAATGTTGGTGGAAATTATGTAGACAATAAAGGGACAGTATGTGTAAAAAATCAAGTTTTCGAGTTATCATCTTGAGTTTTTTTTTTTTTTTTTTAAACAACCGTTAGTGGCTTGCTTATTGACTATCCCTCATATAAATAGAAGTCTAATTTTCTTTAAAATAGACAACATAATTGTACAAAATAAAATGCATATTCTTATGACTATTGATTTTTAACATTGTAAACCAAACAATTTCTAGAGGCTTCATAGATGTGATTTTACAGAAGAAGGCCTACAATTTCTTGGACGTCCAAAACGAGTAAACAAGATGTTCTTAAAAATGAGATGGGAAAGGGGGGGGGGGGCTGAACACTACTTATCACAAACAGCAGAAAGAGACCACAGAAGGAAGAAATGGGAACAAGTTGCTGCAAAATAAGAATCCCGTCATTACTGAGAAATTTCTTATTTTTCTTAGCATTCACCAGCTGTTAACTCCAGTGGAAAGTTCTGGTTGTTTGTTCACCTCCAGACTTTGGCCTTTTTCTACAATCTTCTTCTTCTTCTTCTTCTTCGTGTTCACCAGCTGTAAACTCTGGCAGAAAGTTCTGGGTGTTCAACCACTTCTGGACTGCAGTCCTGTTCCAGAACCTGAGTGTTGCGTGTGTCATCCGTTTTACAGATCTGATCCATTTGTATGCAGAGTACTGGTTTTTTTGCCTCAGGCAGATACACTCTGACTTCAAAGAAAAAATCCCTATTTAGTCACCTTTTACGACATGCTTGTTGGGGCAGTGGGTCTATTTTTTTTGTCCCCCACAATGGGGACCCTGAACCCCCACGTGGATACTGGGAAATTAACCCAGGCCCCTGTCAGCAAACAGACCTGCTGTAGTTCTGATTCCGCAGCTCGCTTCTCTCTCAAAAGTCTGTCAAGCCGAGACTGTTTCTCCACGCCATCCTGAAAACACACAGAAAACAAACTCTCAATGGCTTCACCCCAAAATGTGCATTCACTTAATGTTGTCTTCTGTTCTTATCAAAATTAAATTGGAGTAATAACACTCAGGGCATATTTCTAGCCTGACACTAAAAAGGGTCACACTAAACACCTGTGGTTTCTGGCAGAAAAGAAGTAGAAATTGTTAATTTCAGGAAGTGATAAACGCACCATTCGTATCAACTTTCTGCTATCAATGCCAGACATGGACGTCCTAGAAAAACATAAACACAAAATTACATGTGAGATGAGATATAAAAGAATGCAGCAGGGAAAGAAACAAGAAGAGGCAGGGTCAACAATGAAGAACTAAGAACAATGATAGGCATAGTTCTGGTACATGATTTCATAGAACATCAAAGAATAAAATTTTTGGTAAATCTAGCCAGAATAGAACAAACAACCAGTCAGCTTGAGAACAGTAAGCTACAAGACAAGAGGCTGACCAAGAAAGAAACATATGACACTACACAAACACAATATGACATTAACACAAGCTATGCCACTAGCAAAACACAGGAAACTAAATGTAACTCTTCTCTGTGGTGTGTGGTTACAGCTTAAGCAGTAAGACAAAAGAAGAAGAAAAAAGAAGGTGCAATCATTTTCCTGTCCCTCAACACAAAAACTGTTATGTGAAGTCAGAGACTGTTTTTCCTCTCCTTCTTGAAAAACATAGGGGGAAAAAACTCCCATTGGTTCCACCCTGTAGTTGCAATCACTTTCATGTCTTCAAGACACTTTAAAGAAAAAAGAGACTGTAACATGGAGTCACCATCATGAAAAAAGATCAGTAATGTGTAGATATAAAAAAGTAAATACAAGGAACCTTTGTCATGCCATAAGGCACATTGGGTAAATGATGTGAGCCCATATGTTAGACCAACCAATCAGTTTCATGGAAGCTGTGGTCAGTATTATGCTGGCTGCTTTCATTTCCTAGGAATTTTCCTCATAGCCAGTTTAGAGTCGCAGGACGTGTGAGCATAGAATTCCTTCCGAACTCTTGGAAAAGATGATAATGTTACATTCTTCTTCTTCTTCTTTCGTTCGCCTGAAATTTGTTATCTATATCAGCAGTTTTGTTTCTTGTATAAATTTCACTGTCGTTGTTAGTTCATTAAGATAATACATTCTTCTTCTTCTTCTTTCGTTCGCCTGAAATTTGTTATCTATATCAGCAGTTTTGTTTCTTGTATAAATTTCACTGTCGTTGTTAGTTCATTCAGATAATGTTACAGGTGCTTGTTTTTGTTGACACAAAAAATCTGGAAATTACTTTACTATAACAGCAAGTTTTACAATTACTTCTACCTGCCTATACAAAAGGCAAGAGGACATTTCATAGCACTAGGGAATTTGTGGATGTCAAAAGAAATTAAAAGAAATACTTGACTTAAAATTTTTTATTCTAATGTCAAATCAGTACTTTTGTATGGGGCGGAAACATGGAGAACAACTAAGGCAATTACTAATAAACTATATACATTCATTAACTGACGCCTGCACAAAATAGAGGGAATTAAATAGTATGACAGGATAACTAATGTAGAGCTTTGGGAGAGAAATAAGTAAGCTTGAGTGGACCAAGAGGTGAAGAAAAGACGCTGGCGTTGGATAGAACACATACTGAGAAAACCGGAGAACAATATAACTAGAATATCTTTGCATTGGAACCCACAGGGGCACAGGAATAAAGGAAGGCAAAAAAAAGCATGGAGAAGGGAGCTAGAGAATGAAGTGAGCTGGTTGAGGGCCTATGCTCCATTGGGGGCTAGAAAGGCAGAAGAAGAAGAACAGTGAGTTTTACAATTACTTCTACCTGTCTATTAAAAAAAAGTCTTTAAAAAAAAAAAGAATGGTGGACAGACAGATCATCATCATCATCAAGTGTTGTGCTGATTAGCGCATAGGGTCTTAAGGTTCACACACGATCACCAGAATCGTGGATCAGGTCACTGTTCTTGTCTTGCCTTAATCCACATGGAAATGCGATCAAGGAACTGATTTCTTTGGCCTTCCTCTTGCTCTCTTTCCATCAACCTTGCCAGCTGTTACCAAGTTCTTGAGTTCATTCCTTTTCTTAACACGCCAGAAAAACACCGACTGTCCAGGCTAAATCTTTCTAGTCAGTTTATAATTTCATCTGTCTGAAAAGGGAAAAAAAAAAGGGGGGGGGGGGGGGGGGTGGAACTGCCTCATATGGTGACAGATACATTGAAACAATACCTAGATAATCAAACTAGTTAACCTGTCATTTTGCTAATAGCATGTACGTATTAGCAGATTAAAACAGCAGTATCAAAGCATGTGGGGGGACTGATCCAGAGGACAAGCGGCCGAGATCTGTGGAGAAGCATGCACGCCGACGCCAGTCGGCAGGGCACATGATGATGATCAAAGCATGGGGTTGTGAACAGAAAAAGCTGCCAAACTTAAACTAATTATGGAAAGATAACTTTACCAGTTCCAGTGCATGAAGTTCCTCTGTCAACCTGGTTATCTGCTCATTACACTGCTTTCTGACAATGTCTACCTGTGACATACCAAAAATATTAACCTTAATAGGATGATATACAGACAAAGCTAATAAGAGTTATTTTTGGGATGGGTTAACTTTATGCTACAAGTGTCAAAGATGGACCATTATAACAACTAATGAGTAGAAAATCAAAACAAGGATGAGTTGTCTTAGCTCTGTCGCCCCATTAATGCTGAGATCTGGACTTGCCGTTTTTTTTTTTTTTTTTTTTTTTTATTGCATAGTGTCTTTGGACAGTGGTCACTGCCCCTGTATAACAGCTTTGGTGTTGGTTTCACCTGCACAGTGTGTAGACGCGGTGGGTATGATTATATTAATCAAAATTTTTTTTTTTTTTTTTTTTTTACTGCTGGGGTGGGGGAAAAAAAAAGATTAAAAAAACAAAATTGTCAAATCATTGTGATGTCATATCATTTCATGGAACTAGTAACAAACTCAGGCCCACCTCTGCCCAGCTACACACTAGCTGACCTGTCAGGCTGGTCTATGTTAGAGGGGTGTAGAATGTACACTCTCTCGTGAAACCTAGGTTCAGTGTGTGGGGTGGGGAGGGGAGGTTAGGGCCAGTTGTACATGTTATGGGGTCGTTAAAAGCGCCCACATCCTGTAATATACAGCACGCGTGGTCGCCGGCAAGACCATCAGGACAATACAACATTGCACCAAGTTGACATCCCTGCTACTTAAACTTACGCGTCTCAAAGTTTAACATGCATGAATGAACGTCCAATCACAGTGTCCTGGCCTGGCTTCGTCATTCATAAGTGGTTAGCTAGGCGGATCTTGGCCTAAGTTCGTTACCTGTTCCATTTTCATAAATGCCCACACTGCTCTTTGTTGAATTCACAAAAACCCACTTTTAAATGGTTAAAGGGAAGAAAATCAGTTAACTGTTTGCTCCAGTTGTACTTCACGACTACTTCCCTTCACACAGAAATAAACCTTTACCCGATTTGGACATTTAATGACTGAAGAGAAATTGTATATATTTTCTTAATGACGTGATATCATCAAATTGGCAGAGGACTTTGCATCGGCCTATTCTCAGTTGTCTGTCAATTCAGCAATCAGCGCTTTTCCTGTATGAGACCTTCGACAGCTGCTATCAACTCTGGGATCACTACACAGTTTGTCCGACCCAGTCATGACAAGACTGCTGCAGAGGTCACACCGTTTTGTAACTGCACTAATGCCCTTGCTGCACTGACAGGCATATATTACCATACTGGATCTTCCTCTGCAGCTATATTTCAATAGGTTCCACCCATTCACTGAGTGAAAAAAAAAGGATAATAAAATGCTGCTACAATTCTAATTCCACTTTGAGAAACAATAAATTTCAAACTTGATCCTTTTTTCAGCGGCCTGTAGGCCGGCTTTATGAAGGAAGGTTCCTTGGCTATCTTATTTGGTGTCCTATTTTTTGTTTTGTGAAGTCACACCTGATATTCCTTTTCTTTGTCTTCCTAAGTCTGGTGTGATAATGCTGCTCCTCTCTGGTGCATGTCAAAAGTGGGGTGGCTATCCTTGAACTGCCATTATGATGTTACCATGTTCATTTGCATTGTGATGTCACATGCTTAATACTCCTGACATCCTTAACAACAATACTGACAGGTGACAAGACAGTGGCATGGTTACTGTTATTTCTAGCACTATTTTAAGGTTTTTATTTGAAGCCGGCTTGTAATTCAGTTTTAACATATGCCTGTGAAAGCTAGAAAGCCAGTAAAGATATGGAAGGAAAGTTAAATGCATTAAAAAACAAATGCCTAAGGAAACTGATGAACGTTAAATATAATTAATTCAAGAAGGGTGAATAAATCAGAGATCTGTCTGGACAACCACTATTATCAACAGTTATAAGTACTCCCTGTGTGGATTTTGGGGTCCCATTATAAGGGAAAACGAGAACAGACCCACTGCCTACCCAAAAAGCCTGTTGTAAGAGTGGACTACTTGGGAGTTTCCGTCTGAAGTCAGAGTACATCTGCCTAAGAGGTAAAGAACCAACAGTCTACAAACAAATGAGTCAGAACTGTAAAACGGATGTGCATGCAACACTCAGGTTCTGGAACCGGACTAGAATATAGAAGTGGATGAACAACCAAAACTTTCCGCTGGAGTTTACAGCCGGTGAACAAGAAGAAGAACAGTTATAAGACAAAAAAGATGGTGATATACTGGGCTCATCGTGAGGTGAAGCAAGCAGAGAATTACTAAACAGGCACTGAAATAGGAAGCAAATGGACTGAGGAGGCAAAGGTGTCCCCAGAAGAAACCCTAAGACGAAGGCTGATGAGAGAGGTCAAATGTGCTGTACTGAATTCTTTTTCTTCTTCGCGTTCAGTAGCTGTAAATTCCGATGGAAAATTCTGGACTTTAGTCTTGTCCCAGAACCTCAATTTTGCATGCAAATCCATATTACAGAGGTGGCTTATTTGTACACAGACTGTTGGTTTACTACAACCTCAAAAGATACCTTTAAATAGTCAACTCTTACAACACGTTTGCTAGGGAGGCGGTGGGTCTATCCTTGTTTTTGTTTTGTTTTTTCACTTACAGTTTGGCCCTGGAACCCACTTGGGAAGGACTGGATTACATCTATAGCTATTTGCTTCATTTATTCACTTGTTACTGTAGTATGCACCTGACGAGATACAGCGAAATATGCCAGGCAATAAATTGTGCAGTCTATTGTTTGTGTCTTCTTTGTTCAAATTCACATCGGGGAAACATTGCTTTGAACATCTATAGTACTGAAACTATTGCAGAGGACAGATGAGAAACGAAGAGCAGTCTACGAGCCCTACTGATGTACAATGGACAGATGAGAAAAGAAGAGCAGTCTACGAGCCCTACTGATGTACAATGGACAGATGAGAAAAGAAGAGCAGTCTACGAGCCCTACTGATGTACAATAGACAGATGAGAAAAGAAGAGCAGTCTACGAGCCCTACTGATGTACAATGGACAGATGAGAAAAGAAGAGCAGTCTACGAGCCCTACTGATGTACAATGGACAGATGAGAAAAGAAGAGCAGTCTACGAGCCCTACTGATGTACAATAGACAGATGAGAAAAGAAGAGCAGTCTACGAGCCCTACTGATGTACAATAGACAGATGAGAAAAGAAGAGCAGTCTACGAGCCCTACTGATGTACAATGGAAAGATATTATGCTGATGATGATCAAACAAGACAAACATTACCCAGAGAAATACAAACCTCCTCTCTAGTGCGAGCCCCTGCCTTGTGGATCAGCTTCGACACAACGCCTTTCATTTCTTCCAGTTCTTGCTCTTTCTGATGAGCCACAACCACAGCCTGTGTTTTAAAACGGATTTTTTTTTAAAAACATTCTAGTGAGAAATCTCATATCATGCTGTTGCACATCTCATGTTTTTAACCCTTTCTTCCAGGTAATGTTATATAAAAAAAAAGGGTCATGACCCTATGGAGATTCTGAAAAGACATCCTTTAAAACCGCAATTTACTGATACACTAATACATTTTTTTCTAAATGATTTATGCATATTTATGAATTTTGTTTGACATATATTAAGAAATATATGTATTGTGTGACTTATGACCCCATGAAAATCTACAACTGAGGCTTACAGGAAAATTTGACATCAACTTGGTTTTTAAAAAATGTGATTAAAGGAAAAGCCCCTTAAATATATTCATATCCTGACCTCATCAACGTTTCCGCAGGCGTAAACAGAGCTAATAGCATTAACTATACACCCATAAACAAACATTTACGGACAAGATTACGGAATTTTAAACTTCTCTTAAAGAATTTTTTTTAAAAACTAGTTTCATGTTCACTTCAAGACATCACAAATCAAAGTCAGCATCTACTGGCTCGGCGTGATGCTGTCCACGTCGCCCACCAAGTGCCGACTGACTTGTCTATGAACTATGTGTCCAGGCCTATATGCTCAATTCACCTGAAGGTGTGGAGAAAGGTTTAAACAAAAATATTGAAAGATTTGGTGGTGGTTGTATGGCTCTACTAGCAATTTACATTCAGGAGTTTGCCAACGAACATTACATCTCCCCCCGACACTTCGATAAGGTACAAGGTGGAAGAGAAGAAGAAGAAGAAGAAGAAGAAGAAGAAGAAGTTTGCCAATATCCTGGAATGTGAATGGACAAATTAAGAAGAACCTGGAGGCCAAGGAGATGTGGCTTCTGAGATTCCTGCTGCAAATACTGTGAACAGACAGACGGACAAACAAACAAGTGTCTGGAAATGGCTAATAAAATTAGAAAACTAAAAACAATTATAAAAAAAAAAAAAATATAGGCAGCCAGTGTTCTTTAGTCATTTGATGACAAGAGAGGCATTGGAGAACATTTAGATGACTGAAGAAATCAACGGTAGAAGAAGCAGACAAAGAGAGATGAAGCCTGATGGCCTGAAGGAATGGCATGGTGGAATACCATCGGTTGAACTGATTCAACACACCAAGAACTGAGATCTTTGCAGAGAAATGAGCGCCAACATGCTGCCCAGGGCACATGATGTTGATACTTTTGCCACTGCCCTTTGAATGTTACGATGCTCACACCACTGCCCAGATCAACACACAAAGTTCTGCCACCAAATTGGTCGCAGTTTAATTAAAACCTTGGTATGCTGAGATTGTAAAACTGCATTCTCAACCCCTACACCAAAGACTCTAATGATTCAAGCTTACAGGGATTTTCTTAGGCTCATCCGAGCCTAAAAAGGGTATTTAAATGCTTTCTGGGATGTAAGGGTGGCTGACAGGATATCAGCCACACCACTCATCAAGTGCAGATCGAGTTAAGAATATGTATATCTGCTTGTGCGTCATCTAGATGTTACCTAGATACCACAGACAGCAATGTTATACAGATACAGTGGTAACAGAGCCAGAGGTCAACCACGCAGAATATGGACCACAGAAATATCAGAGACGCTGAAAAGTACTTCATAAGAAGCAAACAGAAGAGCCCATTACAAAGAGGCATCCCAGGAGTAAAGAAGAAGAAGAGGATCAATTAGCACTCAGTGGGTGATGCGGTCAATATCACATCAGCCACATTTACTTCCCAAGACGTTACCTGGTACCCACTTTAGGCTAGGCTGACCTGGAAGCCAAGGTCAGTTTTGAAAACAAAATCTGACTCGAGGATTTGAACTCAGTACCTTCAGGCTTAGCAGGTAGAGAGTCCAGCTTCTGCGGCTCCCTAAGGAGTACATGTAAACAGAAAAACCTACCTGATCTTTCTCCAAGATGGCCACCTCTGCCATCCGCACAGCTTCCCTGACTTGAGTGACTGCTTCAGCTTCTCGAACTTCGGCATCAGATCTGAAAATAATTTTTTTTTTTTATCATACACTTATTCATCAAAGGGAAGACAGGGAAAGATGGCAGGTTTTATGTGCTAGTGCTTCCATCAATACACCTCCACGACCCTAATGGATCAAGGGTTATGTTATGTTATTAACAATATGTGACAAACAATAAAAAAGAAAAAAAAACTCTTACAGCCTTCTCTGCAGGTCTGTCACTCGTACATGCAAGGTATCATTCTCCCTTCTCAGCTCGCTAGCTTCTTTTGTTATTTCAGACAGCCTGCACAAGAAATTATACAGAAAATTAAGAAAAATATCACAATGTCAGCAACAACAAAAAACATACCGTATTAGAACAGAATTAGGAAATAAGTGCTGTTCATGGTAACCGTGGCGTTGAAATTAGGTTACGCACTCCGTGCCATTTCATTCATAAAAAACTGGACTGCTCTGGGGCATAGGGGTGTGAACTAATTCTAGATTATTTCGGGGACACCACCGGCGATGTGCAATGTTGCAGGTGAAGAGGCCCTTAGCAAATTGTCACAGCCAGCCAGGCAACCTTTCAATCTGTCGAGTCGCAGTGCGCCCAACACAGACCGATGACCCTCGGAACAGACCCACACACCCCTTGTGACCCAGAAGAGTCTAGGAAGCTAGGAATGAAAGGTCAACGTAACGGTTACCGGGAGCAGCACCGAGAATAAATATTTAATGCACATTGTTCATGTTTAAGATCGTCTTCTTCGCACGTCGGACATGACCATAAGTGCTCTGAACTCCTCCTGAGTATGTCTGCAAGTGTTTTTAGGCTAGCAACTTCCATTCTGTTCTGGCTAATGTAACGACGTGTAGCTCCCGCATGGTTTTCCTGCCTCGCGGCACCAATTTGTAAACCAAGGATATTTACTTTTATTTTAAACACATTCTGTGTATAGGACCCCAATTTCAAAATTTAAAACATTTGGAAAACATAGTCTTATACATGGAAAACATACAGTCTTATACATGAAAAACATATATTCTTGTACATGGAAAACATATAGTCTTATACATGAAAAACATATGTTCTTTTACATGGAAAACATATAGCCTTATACATGGAAAACATATAGTCTTGTACGTGGAAAAAAACATATATTCTTGTACATGGAAAACATATAGCCTTATACATGGAAAACATATAGTCTTGTACATGGAAAAAACATATATTCTTGTACATGGAAAACATATAGTCTTATACATGAAAAACATTTTTCTTGTACATGGAAAACATACAGTCTTGTACATGGAAAACATATAGTCTTATGCATGGAAAACATATATTCTTATACATGGAAAACATATATTCTTATATATGAAAAGCATATATTCTTGTACATGGAAAACATATATTCTTATACATAAAAAACATATATTCTTCTACGGAGAAAACATATAATCTTATACATGGAAAACATATAGTCTTATACAAGAAAAACATACAGTCTTATACACGGAAAAATTCAGTATATACTACACTCCACATTTTTATCTTCCTAAAAAAAAACATGAGGATTTTGCTCCCTTTTCCCTGTATCTTTTATCTCCCAATAGAGTACAGAATCTTCCCAAAAGAGGACAGAATCTTCCCAATAGAGGACAGAATCTTCCCAATAGAGGACAGAATCTTCCCAATAGAGGACAGAATCTTCCCAATAGAGGACAGAATCTTCCCAATAGAGGACAGAATCTTCCCAATAGAGGACAGAATCTTCCCAATAGAGGACAGAATCTTAACACATCATGTTGTTTGTCCATCACGAGTGATGAAGACCACTTTCATCCAAAGTAGTAATGATCAATGACACATCACATACCACTACTGTCAGCCTTGTTCATTCTTCTCCTCCTGCTTTCACCCTTAAAAGAGAAGTTGGCAAGTTGCGTCTAGGCTACAATATCTAGGCTATGATACCCGCCCATTTCGACCCAGTAAATCTGATTTTAGTAAACGACTAACTTGTCCCTTTCGATTATATGCTTGTTAGGAGCCAGCAGGTCTATTTTCTCAACCACATCCCCACCCCAACCCAAATGATTGGTTGGATTTTGCACAGAAAGATACAATGATGTAATCTAAAAATTCTGTGCACCCTGTAAATTTTCTGCTATTTTCATTACAAAATAGTGACTTGTTGTTGTTATCGATCAAGGGCGCTTGAGCTTTCGCCCTTTGGCCCAAAAATAGTGACTTAAACTTAGCTAACAATTTTTTTTTAAACATGCACAAAAAAACATCTTTTAAATAGAGGATGCAGACGGCACAGAATGCCAAGTTAGAATAACCAATTGAATTCATCATCTGTTTATAATTACTGACATTACGAGGGCTTGTAGACAGCGATAGTTGTGGCATATATAGAGAATGACAGATAACAGAGAAAGGTGAAAAAGGTGGCAACATGCATGCTCCGTGCAGAGTGGCAAGCACTGCATTAGAGGTCCCGGGTAGTTAGCGCACTTGGGATATTTTCTCCAGGTGATGCTGGTGTGTTGGGAAATGAGCAGGCAGATAGACTGGCTGGTTCTGCACCACTAGGTGGTGAACTGATGTATGACAAGCTGGATGCTGTGAGATGCCCTTTGGGAGCACAGTAACAGTGAGGAGGCACATACAAATCATTATCGTCTAAAGAAAATGTCACTGCGGAGAGTTACCAGAGGATCTTGCCGACGCTCAACACTCAAGAAAAAGGTGAGAAGGATGTAAAATCAGTCAGTTACTGGTACCATAAGAATTGGAACTCTTCGCTTGCTGCTGAAAATGGGGATGGAGCATTTATGGGAGTGTTCCGAGTGCTATGATGTCAACTCTTTATTCAACATTTAGATAACGGAAACAAAAACTGAGCACACAGGTGATTGGGAGAAGACCATGAGGCAGACCAAGGAGACAGATGAGAGATAATAAACAGACAGACCTACAAACACCTGAAGTCACTAACTGGTCAAAAAAAATACAAGTGGTGAAGGGTGATATCTTCAACAATGAACCTTGAATGTTCAGAATACCAAAAAAGAAGATGATGAAAAAAAGTAGATGATGAAAAAAGAAAACGAAGAAGATCACCTCTCCCTCAACTCATCCATTATCCTCTTCAGCTCCAGGATCTTGCTGTCCGACAAGCCTTCCTTGAAAATGGTATCTGCATTTTCCTGAGCCTAAAGATGTATTCAAGAAGTTAAATGTTGAATAGTACAAGCAAAAGTAGCATTTCACAGGAACAACAACAGGATATGCAATGAAGCTTTGTCAACAGATAAGAGAAAGTGTCTTCCTAGGACAGAATGGTAGATGGGCCTGCGTGCCTAATTCTTAACCCTTTGAAAATAAAGTGTCCGTTCGATCTCATTCCACAAAAGCAATTTTTCTAGCTTTTAGAGGTTTTGGTTGTCTTGGCATCTTTGCAGAGCGCCCAGTACGTATGTATAACAGCTCTGATACTGGCTGCAACAGCATAGAGTGTAGACATGGTGGGTATGATTATATTTACACCCCCCCCCAAAAAAAAATCTTTTGGAATTTCATTTAGGATAAAAGAAATATATTTTTAAAAAACGGTGACGCCACTATGATGTAATTTAAATTTGATTTATTGTGCCATATAGCTTTCTGTGGCAAATTAACCAAAACTATTTAGGAATTACTTCCCTTCACTTAGACATAAACCTTTCCCGATTTATACATTTAGTGACTAGAAAACAATTAAATTTTTTTTTTTGGTGATGTGACATCAATAAAGAAGCAAAGAACTTCATGCCTGTCTGTGCGATTTTAGTCTAGGAATTTGACCTCCTGGCTATTTATAAAAACTGACCAAGATTCCAAAGTCGTTCTGCTTTATCTTCTAGTTTCTTAGGGTAGAATTTCACAGAATTAGACAACTGTTTTTTTTTTTTAATGAAATTTGAAAACACGTCAATGTTAGAAAGGTTTTTATGGTTACTGTACTCCACACAACAAAAATTACACATCGTCAAGTTTAACCAGCATTCCCAAAGGGGGAGCTTTAGGCTATAATTATGACTAGATTATTTGCACCATATATAAAAGGGCTTAGCATTGCTCGCCACCAAGAAGCCGTGAAAAGGATTCTTGCAGTGTTGATGCGATCACAGGAGACAGACCCAAATACTGTTCCGACCGATGATGAACTCAGTGGGCGACCCGACGCCGACCTGGTTTTTATGGAGCAAAAAGGGTTCAGAGATAGCCAATCCTGATAAAAGTATGTAAACGATCCTTGCTGCCACCAACGAACCAGGATATTATCAGCTAGAGTGACAAGTTCCATCCACCCTTTTCTTATCCACAGAAATCCGTTATCTAATTGAATAGGACTGGATAAACCCCACGATGTTATTATTATTATCATCATCATCATCATATCATGTTATTATATGTCACTCAGGCTTGCAGTCTATTCATCAATTCCATGTCATTCATCTTGTGCGATCCTTTCGACATCATGAGCGGAATAGAGTCCAGTACCTATGGCTTCTTTCATCAACTTTCCTTTGAGGGTTTCTCTGGGGTGTCATTATTTCCTAAATCCATCTGTTTCCGATTTCAGTGCCTGTCTAGCAATTCTCAGCATGTGCCAAACATAGCACCACCTTCTCTATCTTATAACTGTTGATACAAACAGTTTTTCAGTCACTTCTCTGATTCCCTCACCTTTCCTGTGTGGATTCCTCATTGTGTGTGTGTGTGGGGGGGGGGGGGGGGGGGGGGGTTAAACAGAATCAATGCTGTCTTACAGGCATGTCTTTAAAAAAAAAACTATTTAGGGATGTTCCATTCTAAATCTAAGTGCTACAATACAATGTAGAATAAAATCTTGAAAAAAGTATACTATGACCTTTAACATCCGCTAAAGTAAAGTCTCTATCTCGCAACACCAAGATCAAAATAAATAAAACATAGATAAAACTAGTTTTATATGGCCTGATGGGCAAGGAACAAACAGTTTGCATACAAGTAAGCCACATCTGTAAAATGGATATGCACGCAAAACTCAAGTTCTGGAACAAGACCAAAGTTTACAGCCTGCGAAATCTCAGATTTCCCTTTCATTTTCTTGAATTCATTACATTTAATGTTTACCAACTTCCTTGGGCATTCTATACCTTTATTCCTGTGATTCCTCAGAAGCGAAGTGTGTGGGTTTTCACGGCAAGAACCAAAGGCAAAGTCATTAAAGAAAATAAACAGAGGGGGCAGCCATTTGAGGCCGTTAAATATTATGAATTAATCAAGAGACACCTTTTTTCTGGGGGTGCCAAGTTGACCATGTATCTTAGTGCACTTGTATTCATGGCGAGGCGCAGACGCCGTCTGGAGGTGACAGGTTCAATTCCCGGCACGGTAACTATAGCTTTCGATTTTTATGTTGTCTAGTGTGTTCTTCTATCTTTCTACTTCTATCTATGAGTGCCGTTCACAATACTTTCTGTTGCTTGATTAATTCATATCATTAAAGAAAACAGTGGAGCTTTTGCTTTACCGCCACCAGCATGACAGTGGAGGTCATGGCTGTGATAAAGGCCCTAAAATGGCTGCAAACTCAGGATTTCACCAACACATGTTTGCTCAGTGACTCTGTGAGTATGCTACAGAAGATCAAGGTGGGGTACATGCAGCAGAAACAGTGACTCCATCTGATATAGCATGCAGCATTCTTCAAAATCACCTTCATCTATGTCCCTGAGTATGCTGGTGTGAAAGGCAACGAGAGAGCAGACGCCCTCGCTGGCAGTGCTACTATCAGGAATGGGCCATCTATGGACAGGAGAGACATCATCAGTGCCATACAAGAGACTAAGTATTGTGAGGCTTTCAGTTTTGTGAAAAATTATTTTTCACTGTATACCCTGGTGTACCATGTGGAGCTGTGAGACAGGACACCGTCGCTACCTCAACCATAACAGAATGGGGGTTATTTGCCTAAAAACACTTGCAGACACACTCAGGAGGAGGTCGGAGCACTTATGGTCATGTCTGATGAGCCACAAAGACGATCTTTAAATTGAACAATGAATAATCTACACCTATATTTTATCATCAAAATATGAAATATTTGAATTTCAGTGCACAAGCCACCAGCTCAGCCCAGCTTTATGACATTACAGACAGCAGGACAGACATAACAAAAACTTGTCACCTTCCATATCAGTTGTTGCTGAAGGTCATTCACTCGGAGCTGCAGTTCTGATACTCTCTGCACCAGGCTGCTATTTTCTGAACGGCAATCCCTGGAAGAGAAATATTTCCCCTCAGTTTTGTGTAACCAACTGCACGAAATCAACATCATTTGTGTCATTCGGAGAGGTCATACAGATGGAACCACTTCTTCTTCTTCAGCATTCCGTGCCCTTAAGATTCATTGCTGCAGACATCACCCGCCTCCACTCATCTCTCTGGTTGGCCTTATTTTTTTCTTATTTTTTCAGTTGGTGACACTGAGTGTTTGCAGGCCTGTCTGGATGATGGAACCACTAAGTATTAATTACTAAGTATTAAAGGTCCTAGTTATTCATCCATTTGGACTTTAGCTTTGTGCCAGGGTCTGAGTAGCTTTGTGCCAGGGCTTGAGTTTTTTGTGTACATCAATTTTACTGGTTATTTGTGTGCAGGTGGTTATTTCTTGCTGCTCGGGCAGATGCATTCTGGCTTTGAAGGAGGTGCCCAATTAGCTGACTCCTACAATATGCTTGTTGGGGAGACAGTGGGTCAACTCTTGTTTTCCCAACAATAGGGTCCCCGGAATCCACACGGCAAAATTAATAAGTTCAAATCACCTGAGATCATTCTGTAGAGACTCCACCTCTCTGTTAATGACCGTCACTGACTGCTGGTATTGTTCCTTAACCTGGTACACAGACAGAAAAACAGAAATATGACGCAAAAACTGCCTAAGTGCATGGACAGGTTCAACAAACATCAAACTAGTTTAGTTATTTGCCACTGTGTTTACTATTAAAAGGACAGCTGGCGGGTTGTTAGCAGTTTACCACAAGGCTATCTGCTTCTTTTGGTCCAAAATATACAATTTCAGCAAACTACAATTTAATCAACTTTTATGACTGCTTGTTGGAGACAGGTGGTCTGTTCGTTTTTCCTCCCAAAATAGGGCCCTAGAACCCACACAGGAACAATTCAAGCAAAACTATTACATAACACATCCTGAAGGATATAATGAAGATGGGATCCGAGTGCTTATAGACCTGTCTAATTTGCAGTGAGGATAATCTGTTAATTAACTATCTAACTAGCTAACTAAATAACTAACTAAAATATGGTGCAGTTATAAATGTGTGTGTGTGAACAAGCTCATATGTGTGAGTGTATATGCATGCATGATCAGCACATGTGTGTGTGTGTGTGCATGTGTGAAGGGCTTCATTCTGGCAGTACACAGCACTGGCACCTTTTGTAGGCATCATTTGTTCACTGCTGCTGTAACAGACACTTTGATGCGAGTACCGGCACATATATGTGCCATGCATGTACGCACAGATACACATTCACCTTTATATATGGGTTGTCAAAATGGTTGTGTCTGCTACAATTACACATACCTTTACCAGTTTTAAAACATGGATACCGTATTTATGCGTGTATAAGCGGCATGCGTGTATGGGCCTTATCATATTTCTGAGACAATAATATTAGGAGAAATAAATTTGCTCAGAATTTTGTCGAGAGACTGAAACCGAAACAGCAACTTGTAAACAGCAAAAGAAGGACAATGCAAGAGAAAGCCATCATCATGTGCCCTGCCTATTGGCGTAGGCGATCATGCGTCTCAACAGATCATGATCCCTCATTGCCTGGAACAGCTCTCTTGATGATATCCCTCAATGCCATTGTTTCAGCTCATCCAGTATCATCTCTCTTGGTCTGCCTCTATCCCCTTTTTCCACTGATCCTTCCAGTTGTCATGATGTTCTCCAATGTCTCTCTTCTCACTATGTGGCCAAAGAACAGTGTTTGTATCAGCAAGTATCAGTTGTAAATTTAGGTTGCAAGTAGTATGTTATGGGCAAGAAACCGAGCAGCTGGGAGGCAGTTCAATGTGGATAAGACAAATTTGGGAAGATGGACTGGAATGAAAGATGCTCTGAAAAAAAAAAAAAAATGTAAAGTCAATACAACTTTTTTATGGCAAGAATGTGAAATACCTGAAAGAAGAAACCAATCTGCTGGATTATGTTTGTTTTTTTAAAAACCTAAAAAAAATATTTTAAAGCGGCAGATAGGTTTTTGTGTTAGTGGGAGTGTTACCATTTGAAGCAGGTCAATTATCAGACTTCATGGGAATCCCTCAGATTAAATTTAAAGCCAGTTATGGCTGAGCAAGGCACTTTGTGGCACAAAACGACCTCATGATTCGGGGGTTGACAAGAATGGCGACAATCACTGGTACAGTTTTCATAAGGTATGTTTCAAAAGGGTGCACTGTTTATTAATAAATTTGATAAATGTGACACGTGGCCTAATATCTTGAATATAAGCCGCAACCTGTTTTTTCCATCAATGATTTGTGGTTAAAATACTGCAGCCTACACACGAGTAAATACGGTATGTCAACATTGAGAAATATAAGTAAACTAACAAATATCAAAACCAAACCTGGTGTGCTTGCTGTTCCACCACCCTCCACTGGTGGCTGTCTTTCTCCCTCTATAAACAAAACAAAAATACAATATAAACATTGTATACAGATAAATAAATATTATTCATCATTCATAATCTTGCTGCATTGTTATTTGTCACATGCGGCTGGCACTCTACTCCTCAATTCCATTCTACCCTGTACAGGGGATCCTAGCATATGATACCACAACATCTAGCTTAAGAATGGAGGTGGAAGTGTCACTGCAGCTTTCCACTGGCTACAGAACAAGATACACACAAACACACATATATCGCAACTGAGCTGACTCAGAAAGAATGCTGCGGAAGGTGAGGACATGCTTACTGACTGCTGAAAATGTGTGTCAGTGTTCAGAAATGAACAAGCGGACAGATCAGAACTCTACTCTCTGAAACTGGAGTACATCGTGGCGATGAAGTTAGAGGATAAAAGAAGCAGAGAGAGACTGAGAAAGAAGATGCTGGACAGTTTGACATCATGGCAAGGAAGTCCATCTGCATCAGAACTGATTGAAAGTACATGACACAGAAGGTTGTGAACAGACCTGATTACCATCACCACAGCATGGGTTATAAGAAAAAAAAAAGATGTAAAAATAAATGTAACTATATTCAGGGTTCACAGCCAAATTTACCAAAATATTTCAAGGCTTTTCAAGGTCAGTATGTCTTTTCCAAGGTAAAAAAAATAAATAAGGTTCAGGGTCGGGGGCCACAATTCCAAGGTTAATTTTCAGTTTCCTGGTCAGCTACAAACCCTGTATATTAGCAACATTTCTGCACAAAGCAGCATTCACTAGCCTCCCATCCTTATATTTTGTGTGTAAAGTTTAAAACATATACAGGCCACTGGTTCAGTCAAAGCATTCGAAAAAGCCCGCCCAACATACTTCTTTCATCGTGTTCACCGGTTGTGAACCCGGGAGAATTTTTTGGTTCATCGTCCACTTCTGGACTTTAGTCTTGTTCCAGAATTTGAGTTTTGCGTGCACATCCGTTTGACAGATCTGGCTTATTTTTACACAAGTGCAGGTTCCTCGCTTCTCAAGCAGATGCATCTGACTTTGAAGGAAACACCCTTAATTAGTCGACTTATACGACATGCTAGTTAGGGAGGTAACTGGTTAATTCTTTTTGTTGGGCCCCACAAAAACCAACATACAAACCTCAAGCATTCCTGCTAATCGATCAACTTCCTGCGCTGCTTCCCTCCATCTTTCATCAGCTGCTTCCTTCTCCTGAAGCAGCAGGGGGGGAAAAGCCACATAAAAAATTAAAACAATTACAGCATGGTAGTATGAACAATTCTAAACAATGTCAAGGGGTTAATTCAACAGAATGAGAAGGAGTAAAAACTGTTTAGATTTCACATTTAAGTTACTGCAAAATCACAACCAAGATTGGTCTGAATTTATCCTTCATTATTATCATAAATTTTAACATAAATTTTAAGTTTCACATTATCATGCATTATTCTGCAATACCAGCATTAGAGAGGAAGTTGGAATAAGACCCAATCTGTTATAATAAGAAGAACACAGGGAAGCATATAAAGCAGGAGTCTACCAATCATCAGTAGAAGTGATTACTCTTCAACAATTGTTTCAGCCTATAATCTCCTAGACAATTTCAGAGGGTGGGCCCACCTGGGTCATGAATCCAGGCTTTGATCTTCTCCTGCTGCACGTATTACCGGATCTGGATTATAATGACAGACAAAGAATGAAATAGTTCAGTCATCTAATGAGAATGCAGCCAGACCAGACTGCTTATCAAACTTTCTAATGCAGAACATCTGGAAGACCAAGAAAGAGACAGATAAATGGTGTAGATGAAACCTGCAAAAAGATTAACAAATCCACAAATCAAGTTACCCAAGAAGCAGACTAGACAAATACAGAAAACCACAACACTGGGCTGCAACCTCGTATCACTGAGACGACAAAAGAAGAAGACATTATCTTATGATTGTACTGTTCCCAAGATACTGAATACTGTTGGCATCTTTCTGTCTTTCTAGACGATAGCGTTATAATGTGCTTTGGAAAGGCATGGGAATCCCAGCCTATGGTGATGGTGAGAAGACCTGCCCAGGTTAGGAAAAAGTCTACTACAAACAGAGCACATAATTTCAGGGCCGTCGTTGCTGTTACTTGTACTTAGTGTGCTACTTCTCAGACCTCAGCTCTCAACCTATCCAAAATCATTTTTCGTTATTCCCATTCCCTTCCTGATCCCCCCCCCCCCCCCCCCCCCCCTACCCTTTACAACATGGTCTTTGGCATTTTTTTTCCCCATGAAGCTACTTCAGTATCTGTATCACTCATGACCCACTTGCACACATCTTTATAGGCCTAGAATTCAGAAGTGGACGAGTAAACAGAACTTTCCACAAGAGTTTACAACTGGTGAACACCAAGATGAAGAAGAAGAAGAAGAAGAAGAAGAAGAAGAAGAAGAAGAAGAAGAAGAAGAAGAAGAAGAAGAAGAGAAAATGGGACACATTCAATACAGCTAAAGAAATGAACTTGTGGGCAACCACTTGTATCATTAATTATAAAACAAAGAAGATGGACAATATGTTGGATATACTGTGAGGGGAAATGGACAGAGAATAACTAAACATACACTGAAACTGGGAAAAATCTCGGTTTGAGGAAACAAGGAAGTTAAAAAAATAAATCTTATTGGCACCTTTAACCTCAAGGGGAAGGTTCTGGTTGTTCATCTAATTCTGGACTTTGGCCTTGTTCTACAAACCTAAGTGCTGCATGTACATCCATTTTCACATCTGGCTTATTTGTATGCAGACTGTTGGTTCCTTGCCTCTCAGGCAGATGCACTCCAAATGAGTCCCCAATTAGTCAGCTCTTACGACATGCTTGTTGGGGAGGCAGTGGGTCTATTTTTGTCTTCCCCAAAATAGGGCCCCAGACCCACAGGGGGAATGCAAAAACCATGAGATGAACATTTTGAGAAAGGCCAAAGGGGCTGAATTCCATCTATGATATTCAAAGGACTGCACGCGACAGAACAGAATGGAGGCCTAGTCTGCAAACTACATCTAACTCCTCCCTGTGATGCTTCAAGGCATGAACAGTAGGACAAAAGAAGAACATTAGTCATCTTTTTGGTCACAGATCAATTTTGTCCAAACCACATACAAATTATTGGCACCTTTCCATTTTTCCAGACGATGGTGTTATATTGTGCTATGCGGAGACATGGGACTCACAGCCTATGGCGATGGTGAGTGTGACTAGCAAGACCTGCCCACATTAAGAAAAGTCTTCCACAAAAACAGCATGGGATTTCAGGACAGTTGCTGTAAACATTTGTGTTTAGTCTGTGTCTTCTCAGATGCTCAGCTCTTATCCTTTCTGCAATCATTTCTTCCTTCATTCTAATTCCCTTCCTGATGTACCCTCTCCACACAACACGGTTCATGGCATTTTGTACCCACGAGTCCACCTCAATACCTGTATTATTCATGACCTGCCTGCACACATCTTTATATTGTAGTAGAGGTTGACCTTGACATCTTGTATCCATCTTTAATTCACCATAGACGATGTCCTTAGGGACTCTGCCATCCTCTATTCTCCAGTTGTGACCCAGTCACCTGAGCCTTCGTAGACTGAGCACTGAGAAGACTATTGTAGTACCTGCTCTTTCCAATACCTAAATCTTGTTTTTTTTTATCTTGTTCTGCCCCTTAATGCCAAGTATTCTTTTTAGGCATCGCATATGAAAGCTATTTAGTCATTTCTCCTGATGCAAATAAGTTGACCATGTTTCACTGCCACAAAGCAGAGTGTTGAGAACACAAGCCTTATTAACAAAAGTAGGGAGTTTTGTTTTAATCATAACTGTCTGTTCTCCCAAACTCTTTTTGTTAATCTGCTCATTGTTGTTGCTGCCTTACCTATCCTGATGTTGATTTTTTTTTTTGGGGGGGGGGGGGGGGGGTCCAGCGATAGTTTGTTATTCACTGTGGATCTCAGACAGGTAAAATGGTCAAATGTCTCCTTCATTTACCCAGTTACCTCGCAAGGTGTGAAGGTGTAACTTATTTCCTTTGCTAATCATTATGTACATCCCCCGTGTGGGTTCCGGGGCCCCATTGTGGGGAAAACAAGAATAGACCCACTGCCTCGCCAAAAGCATGTCGTAAGAGTCAACTAATTGGGGAGCTTCCGTTGAAGTCGGAGTGCATCTGCCGGAGAGGCAAGGAACCAACAGTCTGTATTCAAGAGAATGCGATCTGTAAAACTGATGCACACACAACACTCAGGTTCTGGAGCAGGACTGCAGTTCAGTAGTGGACGAGCAACCAGAACTTTCCACCAGAGTGTACAGCTGGTGAACGCGAAGAAGAAGAAGAAGATTATGTACATTAGTAGAGACAAAAATAATTGGTGCTTTATTAATATCCTACCCCAAACAGGGAAAATCAATAGGTCACGGGACAGTCTAATAATAGATAGGCTGCATGCAGTCGTAGGACCTAGGCTTCACTCTCTCGTGGGACCTAGGCTTCACTCTCTCGTGGGACCTAGGTGGGTTGGGGTTAGGGCCAGTTCTAGATGTTTTGGGGTCGTTAAAAGCATTAGAAAGCCAGGAAACCCAGTCTTCCAACCCTCTAAAATGTTGGACTGTCCTGTGACACCAACTGGTGTAGGATATTAATAAAGAACCAAATAATTGACTCACATCCTCATGGTAAACAACTGCACGCAAAAAAGAATATGTTAATATAACTGGCCAGTACTGTGACATACGCAATGGCAAACTACTGGACGTAAATTTGCCTAGAAAAACATCCTGTAAAGGATACGCAACTAATCTATCCACTGTGACATACAGTCTAACTCTTTCCTTACCCTTGTGAGAAGTTCAAGCTGGTGTTGAAGACTTTGTATCAAGAAATCACTCCTACCATCTCCCTCATCACCTGCCCCAGCATGATCTGGAGACAAATGACCCTGAACGGCTTCTTTCAGTTCTCGGTGAAGGCTAACGTGTAAGAATAAAACACTTATTACTCACCAGGTATAAGCAATGTACACGCCGTCACACAAGTTTCAATACATACGGAAACAAATACTGTTTATTTATATCAGTTCAAAAGTTTCTGTTTATTGTTTAAACAATGGATCAACATCACGACAAAAGGGTGGTAACCCATTAGAGCTCCGTTCTACTTCTAACTCAAGCCTGAGTCAGAAGAACCTCAGTGCAGTGCACGAACTCAGTAGCACAGGCGAGGATCCCGAAAATACTTTAGGTAGATTTTTCCTATGTTTATTTTTCATCTACTCTTTTATTGCTTTTTGTGTCAACAGAGATATAAGGTTCTCTTTCTAACTCCACTAGCCACCTTCACCACAGATACATTTTACCGTTCTGATGTTTCTCTAATGTCTTCTTCCATCTTGCTCTTGGTCTATCTCATGCTCTACGACCCTCTCCTCTTTAAGTAACACTAAAACTAATAAAACTGTATGTATGCAACTTAGCCGCCAACTTAAGCATTTTTGAATACATTCACAATAATTAATATTATTATTATTACTGAACACAATTTAGCTGTTTTTATTTCTGAAAGTAATTTTTACAATAACATGATTAAATGCAACAACGAAATTCATAATCGGTTTAAATCACCACTGATCACTGGCATCATGAGAGCTAATAGACTTAAATGGTTAAAGCATGTTGATAGAATGCCAGATGATAGAGAAGTAAAAACTGTATACACCAGGGAGATGAATGGTCGTAGACCAGGAGGCAGACCAAGAAGACGATGGAGCGATAATATCCAGACAGACCTGCAAACACTTGGTGTCACCAACTGGAAAGAGAAGGCCAACCAGCGAGATGAATGGAGGCGGGTGATATCTGCAGCAATGAACCTCAAGGGCTCGGAATGCTGAAGAAGGCCAACCAGAGAGATGAATGGAGGCGGGTGATATCTGCAGCAATGAACCTCAAGGGCTCAGAATGCTGAAAAAGAAGAATGATTAAATGACATTTAAAACAAATACACAAAATAACAATCATCATTTTCATTTAGCAGGTCCTTTGCTGAGCGTCCCTCTCATCATGGTCTGCCTGACTATATATCTATATCGTGTGCCCATCTTCCTGCTGGTCAGTCCCTGCCCCTCTTTCCTGGTACTCTGACTTCTGCTATTATTCTTTCCATTTGATGTGGTGCTAGATATGGCCAAAATATTTCAGTTTCCAAGATAAGATGCTGTTTTCTAGCCACCCTTGCTTGATGTTTAAATTTTTTTAAGATGCGAGTATTTTTCTTTTTGATCCATGGTTGTCTCAAAATCTTTCTGCAGCATTTCAGCTCAAAAGCTGCTATTTTCTTCCCTTTCTTCCAAAAAAAAAAAAAAAAACATTATATAATCATAATTTGCACATTCATTTTTCTAAAACATTTCTACCTTTCATTTTCTTGAACTAAATCCCTGGACTGTCTTCTCAGCCTCTCAAGATCATCCTGTTTATGTAAATGATTGTAAACTCACATTAACTCCATAAATAGGAGAACTCAATCCTTATCCAAATTAATGAGTGCAAAATTATTATAGAAGCACCACATTATTTACAGTTCATAGTTCTAATTAATGGATCGCAAACTGCTCCTCCCCACAACGCTTAATGACAGAAGTTGAAATTGATGATGATGAGTTCTAATTAATAAAGATACCTTAAAAAAAACATAATTAAACTGCATCAAGCGGAGTTTATCCTAAGAAAATCTACAATAATGTTAAGCAAAAAATTAAAAACAATAACCAAATAACAGTGGTACTCCAAATATGAAAAATTACAGAACTGTACACACACATTTATGCAAAGAACTCTTGCAACGTAACATGCAATGGTAGCACAGGTTTCCAGTATGAGTCGGTTTATGGTAAACAGCTCCAATGATGGTAAATGAATGAGCCAAGAATATAGATTACTACACTCTGGGTATTACCTCCTGCATTCATCCTCTACCACACTAATTATTGTTGTCCACGTAAACAATTTTTAAAAAGTAGTCTAACGGCGCTGCCCGGGCAAAATTTTAAGTTAAAAATCTACCCAAAGTATTTCAGGATCCTCGTCGTTTCTACAGAGGCTGTGCACTGTGCTGAGCTTCTTCAGGCTCAGACTTGAGTTTGATAAAGAATGACGCACTAATGGGTTACTACCCGTGTGCCATGATGTTGATCCGTTGTTTACACTTCAACTAATGATACCAGCTGGGTTCTGGGGCCCTATTGTGGGGAAAACAACAAGAGTCGACTAATTTGGAGCTTCCTTCGAAGTCGGAGTGTATCTGCCTGACAGGCAAGGAACCAACAGTCTGCATACAGATTAGTCAGATATGTCAAACGGAGGCACATGCAACATAAGATTCTGGAACAAGACTGCAGTCCAGAAGTGGACGAACAACTAGAACTTTCTGACAGAGTTTACAGCTGGTAAATGCAAAGAAGAAGAAGAAGATGACAGCTGCAAACTGACTAAAAGTCTGCCTGGTTTTTTCCCCCCTGCATGTTGAAAACAATCAATACCCCTATGTTTACTCCCTGCTTTGCTAACTCCTTCACTTGGAGATGACAGCAGAAGACACAGTAATTGCAGGTAATCACTTCCAACTACACAGCAAACAGGTCATCCCTTAGTTGTTCCGTTCCTGCGCCAACAGAAACCACACTGAATGTCCATCACTGTCCCTTGTGGAAAAAATGGGCACTGACAGCAGTCTCAAAAAATCCAATAGCATACACGTGTATTAAATGCATTAGGCAGTAGTCAAAAGTGCCAACACCAACAGTCTTGCTACAGATCAGTAGTTGCACAGGCATCAATCACCTAAGGCACTGCCATTTCTCTGGCAACAGACCACTCACCATTTTCTGAATCTACAGTTCACAATACAAACCATACTGAGCACAGTCAAAATCTGCAGTTCAGTTTCGCAGCACACACTGACTCACTGAGTAGCTGGGTGACAAAACTATATCCTTTCAATCTACATATGCAGGAGAATTTAACAGCCAACCACTGTCAAAAGCAAAAACTTGAAACAACAGTATACTCGCCAATCCTCCATATTGACTGGAACTATCAAAATATAATTCTCTTAGCCAGTATGGGGAATTGCAGTAACATGTTATTTATTTTCTGAAAAGTAACACTGGCAACAATAACTACACACACCCACCCAACCACACAACACACATACCTGATGATACACACACCCACCCAACCACACAACACACATACCTGATGATACACACACCCACCCAACCACACAACACACATACCTGATGATTCACACACCCACCCAACCACACAACACACATACCTGAAGATTAGCTAGCTGACCCTGCAACCCAAAAATGATGGTATCATACTCCTGCAGCAAGGGAGACAGTTCCCTGTTGAAAAATACATGAAAACACATTTTTAAAGTTGTTGAACACACTTACGGAAGACCCGGGTTTGAATCCCCGGTAAGGCTGGGGATTTTTTTTTGTCGGGGGGCAAAATAAAATCCTCACCTGCACAGTCCGTGGCGACAGCACTAGCCATGCAGCCCTAAATCCTCAGACTCAAAGACTTCCCTGCGTATACCGCAAAAGAGGTATAATAAAGACAGCAAATGGCAGTTGTTGTGTTGTTGTTTTTTTTTAAAAACAAATTTATAAATCATGTGAGAAAATATTGCTGCAACACAGATATTATTTCTTCACTTCTTTTGAAGTGCATCCTCAAAAAAAAGTATAGATTCTCAACAACGTAGTGCCATGACATTCTATCTATGACATTCTATCCATGACATTCTATCCATGACATTCTATCCATGACATTCTATCCATGACATTCTATCCATGACATTCTATCCATGACATTCTATTTTTTCCCATCTCAGGTAGCTCACTCCATGTTCTCACCTCTTTTACTCCCGGGGAGTTGGAGAAGAGGCCCACTGCCTCCCTAATATGCATGTCATACAAGGAGACTATTTAGGGGAGTTTCCTTCAAAGTTGTACTGCATCTGCCTGAGAGGCAGGGAACCAACAATCTGCATACAATTAAGCCAGATATGTAAAACGGATGTGCATGTAAAACTCAAGCTCTAGAACTAGACAAAGATCCAGAAATGGACAAACAACCAGAACTTACTGCCAGAGAACGCTAAGAAGAAGAAGAAGAAGAAGAAGAAAATGGAAATAGAAAAAAAAAAGAAGAAGAAAAAGATCACTTCACTAACTCGGGGTAGTAGGGTACACCAGTGATACTCGGGGTTGCTGTTATGGATACCCTAATTATAACTTCTCAGAAGATTGAACAGGTAATCGGGAATTCGCTCTGTTGGTCTGCCATTACAATTTTGAAATCATGCGCCCTCTGGCTTTTCACGGGACAAAACAAATATAACTAAATGAGAAAACTCATAAACATAGGCGTGTTTTTGTTTTTTTTTTAACTAAGAAAGCCTTTGCTTCTAAAAAATTTGAGAACCACTCGTCTAATATGGTTAACACCACAAGCATAAATGAAATAAACCAAACAATATCAGATACTCACGTTTTTCTAAGCCATGGCTGTTTCTGAGCCCACTCCTGTAACAATTGTAATAAAACATTTGCTTCATAACACAGAATTATATTTATATATATATATATATATATATATCATCATCATCATCATGTAGCAGGTCCTTTGCAGAACGTTGCTCTTATCACAGTCTGCCTGAAAGAAACTCGGTCTCTCGCCAGTTCTCCCACCTCATGTATTTTCATACTCAAGGAGTCACTTATATCCTGTACCCATCTTCGTGTCGGTCGGCCCCTACCCCTCCTTCCTGGTACCATGCCTTCTGTTTTTTTTTTTTTCAATCCGTCGTGGCACTTGATATGACCAAAATATTTCAGCTTCCGAGACAGGATGCCAATCTTCCTTGATGTTCAGATCTTTTAAGATGTCAATATTTCTCCTCTTCTTTGTCCAAGATATTCTGAGAATCTTTCTATAGCATTTCAGCTCAACAGCCCCTATTCTCTTTCTTAAAGACTGAGATAGATAGACAGACAGACAGACAGACAGACAGACGGACGGACGGACGGACGGACAGACAGACAGACAGACAGACAGACAGACAGACAGACAGACAGACAGACAGATAGATAGATAGATAGATAGATAGATAGATAGATAGACAGACAGACAGACAGACAGACAGACAGACAGACAGACAGACAGACAGACAGACAGACAGACAGACAGACAGACAGACAGACAGATAGATAGATAGATAGATAGATAGATAGATAGATAGATAGATAGATAGATAGATAGATAGATAGATAGATAGATAGATAGATAGATAGATAGATAGATAGATAGATAGATAGATAGATAGATAGATAGATAGATAGATAGATAGATAGATAGATAGATAGATAGATAGATAGATAGATAGATAGATAGATAGATAGATAGATAGATAGATAGATAGATAGATATAAAACATAATATCAGATGCACCACCACACATACACAAAAATCACCCTCAATTGAGAAAACACAGCAGCTGAAAATATGAAATTTCAAAAGCAAATCTGTACATTCTTCTTCTCCTTCTTCTTCTTTACAATGACAGACAAGTTCTTTGATAAAATTTACTTTGGGGGCGGGGGAGCTCTTGTTTTTCATACAGCTGTCATGTTGACTCACAGAGCCAGTATTCCATCTTTACTGAGCTGTACAAGGTACAGACTAGCAAAAGGCGTTCTGTGCTTTGTAGGCACAGCCCACGTAGGCAGAGTAGTCAAATATATCTTCTTCTTCTTCTTCTTGCGTTCGTTTTCTGATTTACACAGTACAGACACCTTCTTGTGATAAACTTGACAGTTTTTAGGAGTTCCCTTTTAGTTTCATACAGCTTTGAGTGCAGTGTTGACTCATTGGACCAGTAACCCCTTCTTAATAGTCTGTAGAGGACATTTTTGCAGGACGTTCTGTAGTCTGCACACACACAGCCTATAAGGGCACAGTGGTGGACTACTTAGATGAAGTATGGTGAATTACAGATGGGTAAAAGATATCAAGATCGGCCTCTACTGCGATATAAAGATGTGTGCAAGTGAGATATAAATGATACAGGAATTGAGGTAGATTCAAGTGAAACAAAATGCCAAGGAAAGTGTATGTGGAGGGGGGAAATCAGTAAGGAAACGGGAATAAAGGGGGAAAGGGGGGGGAGAGAGACTGCGGTAAGGAGAAAAAATATAACTGCAGGAAGAGGAACAAATGGTAGCAGGAAGGGGAAAAAAGTGACCGCAGGAAGGGGAACAAATGGTAGCAGGAAGGAGAAAAAAGTGACAGCAGGAAGGGGGAAAAAATGACCGCAGGAAGGGGGAAAAAAATGACCGCAGGAAGGGGGGAAAAATGACCGCAGGAAGAGTGAGAGCTGAGAGTCAGTAAAAAACACACTAAACACATGTAATGGCAACAGAGTCCTGAAATCCCATCCTCTAATTATAGTAGAGTTTTCCTATCACAGGCGGGTCTTGCTAGTCACACTCACCATAAGCATGGGCTGATTCACATGCCTCCTCACAGCACAGTATAACTCTTCTGTTTGGAAAGATGGAGAGGTGCCAACAATTTGTTATTGGTAAAAAAAAAAATACATTTCATGCAATGTGAGAATTTGAGAGAGAAACTTACTTTTGGAAGCTCATACTCCTTTAACACAAAATCTGGATATGCATCTTGATACCTGGCAAGCAGGTAGTTCAGCCTCATCACTGAAACAAATATAGAGAGACTAAAGATGTCTATGACACGTAACACTTTACATCTGTTTACTGCACTATTATCAGCATTAATTCCAACAACCATGACTGGAATTGAAGCCCCACCCTGGCTGTTGCCGGGGGGCCCTAATATAACCTAACGGTTGAACAGGGTTTCCGGGACCTCTCCACGGGTGATCCTCATCTGAACGGTGGCATTTTGTGTCATCAGGTGTTTATCGCTCAGTGTGCTGTCCTGGTGATGTAAAACTTACTTACTTACTTAACCAGAGTGCATGTACAGGTACTGATAAACTGCATCTCTAGATATGATGAAGTCTTTGATTTTATGTTTTACAATATATGTTTGAGTATTATATTAGGCAGTGGTGACTAAAAAGACCCGCCCGCGTTAAGAAAAGTCTTCCACAATTATAGCATGGGATTTCAGGACCAGGCACTTATTAATCAACCGTCTTCTCTGTGCAGAGTATTGTTGGAGATCCAGGCTCTCCTTTAAATAACGATCGCTAGCTGGAAAGCCGACGGTCGCTTAGTGGGAGTTCACTTCCTTGGTTGCAGTGCAAATACGGACCGTAAAGAGGGAACGAAACAAATTACATACTCACCTATCATCATACAGTTGCATAGGGTGTAGGGTTAGGGTTAGGGGTAGGGTTAGATGTGATTTCTCCTAAATATGACGGCAATAGCACGCGGCTGGTGCCCAATTGATGGCGAATTGTCCGTTTGAGTAGCATCCACAGTCCATCAGTTGTTTGGGTGTGTATGTCACTGTGCGTGATTATTTGGAACTCCTTCGTCAGAAGTGTCACATCTAACCCTAACCCTACCCCTAAACACGCAAATTTATCGGTCATTAAGGCATACAGATCTGCAGGAGTCACATCTGTGGCAACTAATAGCACTTTTATATATGGATATATTTACTTTAAAAAAAAACCAGATTTCCCAGAAGCGTCAAATAAACACCCAGATCTGGGGGAAACACCCAAGCATTGGCGGCCCTTATGTCGACCTCACTGTCTGTTTTGATTCGTTACTTGTCCGCTCCGTATTTACAATGCAGCCAAGGGAGTGAACTCCCACTAAGCGACCGTCAGCTTTCCAGCTAGCGATCGTTATTTAAAGGTGAGCCGAGATCCATTCCATTCCCTACAAGTGCATTGCCATCAGCTCAACAACAGATTCCCTAAACTGCTACTTAAGATTTTATTCTGAACTTTGTGTATGTAATAAAATTGCTGGTTCTCGTGAATAAAGAGAGATTCATCATTCACTACTGGAAAAAAAAGTTACAACAACAGTGCGACAAGTTTAGACAGCGCGTCATTGTCTCCTACCTGCCATCGTTCACTGTTTCCAGCGATTTGTTGACACTTGACAACATGCACACATTCACTTACCCTGGTCTTTGAGAAATTCTGTATCACTTTCAGACATCTTATAATATATATCTAAACTGTTTCGTGATATTATATCAAGGATATGGTGGCTTAATGGTCATAATATTGTGTTAAAAATATTGCAACCGTCTCCAAACTAATAGTAAACAGCCATGATTGAAGACTTCCTGTCACTGAACGAGCCGTACTAAAAACAATTCGCACCATAATAACAGAGGAGGTCGCCGTGGTATAGGGGCTAGCCGCTCGCCTGTGGATCGGAAGGTCGTGGGTTTGGGTCCCGGTTGAGCCGGCCGTTTTTCAAAAATTTCCTTGGCTCACAGGTCGACCCAGCTTTGAGTGGGAACCAGGTACAAGTCATGGGAAGTAAAGGCAGCAAACGTGATACTAACCACATCACCCACCAAGTGCCGATTGATCTATATAATTGGTTTAGGTTTAGACGACCGATCAACGTCATGACAAAAGGATAGTAACCCATAAGTGCTCTGTTCTACTTATGATTTAAGCCTGAGTCCTAAGAATCTCAGCGCAGTGCACGAACTCCGTAGCGCCGGCGAGGATCCTGAAATACTTTGGGTAGTTTCTTCCAAGTCGGAGTGCACCTGCCTAAGAGGCAAGGAACCAACAGATACATGCACATGTGCCCTTTATGTAAAACGGATGCACACGTAAGACACAGGTTCTGCAAAAAAGTCTAAAAGACCAAAAGTGGATGAACAAAAAGAACTTTCAACCGGAGTTTACAGCCAGTGAACGCGAAGAAGAAGAAGAAGAAGAAGAAGATTTTGGGTAGATTTTTAACTCCAGATTTTGCCCAGGCAGCGCCGTTAGGCTACTCTTTTCGATTTCTAACTGCCAAGGGATTGTTCTCCCTAGAGACCAGGGGAAATTACTAGAAGCTATGGGGGACCGGTGGCGACTTTAAAACGCACAATCCTATTTGTGACCCAGACGGGACTCAATGTTTAGCATGACTGATGTCGAACACAGAAGAAGAAGAAACTGGAAGTCCATGTGGGAAAAAAAAAGTCTAGCCTTCACCGGGACCTGAACCTGGGACCTCTAACACACGAGGCGGGCGCCATGCCTTGAAACCAGGTAGCCCGATATATAAAATTAAAATATATAAAGTATTGGTCTAGTCCTGTCTGCCCAAAACGCCCGAAGGCGCGGAAAAGGGTCCTTTACTTTACCATAATAACAAAAGGGTTGTCGAAGTTCCTGTGGAACATGAAGTCT